GTTACCAACTAGGAAAGCAAAACTCATCATGGAAGGGTGGAAATGTGCTGTGCCAATGTGATGGGTCAGGCCACACTGGATTTGTAACTGTCCACATGTTTTGTGATGGCCATACTTACTCTGCATTTGATACAGCAATGTAGGAAGTATCCACTATTCTATCTCCTTGTTAGTTAGCTTTTATTCTGGCTGATGTATTTATTGGGTATGCAGTGAGCAATGAGATTTCTTTTTCTAAACAGAAGTATTATATTAGTTTAATATGTAGCCTAAACACAAATCCCATAGTGATTACCTCACAAATGATTCAATATTTCATAGTTTTTAAAAAAGTAAACAATGACAAACAAAATACTACCCAAAATAAAGTTCTTAATTCTAGTCGTATGTGTCTTTGTCTGTCTGGATTAGGGTCTCTCTACATTGCTGCACCCGTCCTTTTCACTCTGTAGACCACTCTGTTGACTTTGAACTCACAGAGATCCACCTGTCTCTGCCTCCCAAGTGCTAGGATTAAAGGTATACGCCTCTATAAATGGTTCAGTCAGATTCTTATTCTTTATTTATTTGAATTCTCTTTTATTTTGAAAAGGGAACTCATGTGGCCTAGGCTAACCTTGAACTCCTGATCTTCTTGTCCCCATATCCCAAGTTCTGAGAGTATAGCTGTAGTGATGGCACTACCCCCTATCCCCAACCCCCTTTAAGGCATAGTCTTGGTATGCAGTCCTGGCTGTCACAGAAATATCTATGTAAACAAGGTGGCACAAAGTTCATGGCCATCAACCAAGTGTTCCACCTTGCAAGTGGGCTGGGCCCTACAGCAATCTGTCCGTGTGCATTCATTGTCATGTTCCTAATGGCTAATGATGCTGACAGCTTTTCTCCCGTGTCCAACATCCAGCTCTTTGGGTGCAATGGCTGCTCAATCTTTTATTCACAGTTGGAAGGCTGTTTCCTTATTGAACATTATATATTTTAGATATACATGAAATTTCATGTGTTTTCTAATTTTTAAGAATGTGGCTTTCTATTTTCATGAAAATATCACTTGAAAACATAGAGAATTTTTTTTTTTTTTTAATTTTGAAGCCTGGGGATGTAGTTCAGTTTGTGCGCTACTTGCTGAGTGCACAGAGCCCTAGCACCATAAGAGTTCAATCCCTGGGACACACACTGTGGAAGGAGAAAGCCATTGGGAGTTCCTCCACATTGTCCTCTGACCTCTTCATGTTCACACACACACTCAAGTTCACACTCATGCTCAGCTACATAGTGTGCTCCAGGACTACAGGCCAACATCAGATTCTGTCTCAAAAAACAAAACAAACTAAGAAATCCTTTCTCATGTCAAGGTGCCAGGGATTTTTCTTATTATTTGTACTTTAGGTTTTGCGTTAAGCTACTGTGTTGTCATTCGTTTTTGTCAGTTTGACTCAGCTAGCGTCATCTGGGAAGAGGGAACCTCAAATGAGAGAACATATCCATCAGACTGGCCTGTAGACAAGTATCTGGGAGCATTTTCTTCATTGACTGATGATGTGGGAGGGCCCAACCTCCTCTGGGTTGAATGACTCCTGGGTCATCCTGGGAGGTATAAGGAAGATGGCTGACCCATGACTGTGGCCAGCTTTCTTCCTTGGCCTGTTTCAGTTCTGCTCAGTGGCAGACAGCTGTTGCCTGGAAATGTAAGTTGAAATAAAGCCCTTCCTCGCCAGCTTGCTTTTGGTCAGTGTTTTATGACAATAAACAGCAAACTCACACAGTTACAATACACTTTGGGTGACTTAGATTGGAATAGTGGGTTGACATGGGTGTTTTAAAGAGCATATGTCCCAGCACTAACTATTTTCAGACTGCTTTCCAGTGGACATAAACATGTCCACCATCTGCTAATGTATCATTTCACCAAAGCCAGCCCTAACCATTGCATCTTTGTATCAGTTTTGAAGTCAGGTGCTAGCCCTCCTATTGCCTGTCTACACATGCTTTGGATTCTGTTTCTGTTTTGTCTTGTTTTTCCTTTCCAGCTACTTGCTAATATCTACATGAATACTGCAATGAGTTTGATCAGAGATCCACTCACTCTATAGAGAAATTTGAGGAGAAGTGGTGTAACACTAAATGACTTATCTTTTCTTTTTTTTTTTTTTTAAATCAAGGTTTTCTAATTTTTAGCATATAGACTGTATTGTATACACATTGATATTTCATATTTTGTACTATCATAAATGGTAATTTTAAAACTTCCATTTCTTTTTTTAATTATTTTGTGTTTTTCAAGACAGGGTTTCTCTGTGTAGCTCTGGTTGTCCTAGAACTCAATCCATAGGTCAGGCTGGCTTTGAACTCACAGAGATCCACCTGCTTCTGCCTCCCAAGTGCTGAGATCAAAGGCATGCACCACCACCCCTGGGCTAAAACTTCCATTTTTAAATGCTAATTTCTAGTACACAGAAATGAAATTGTCTCCTGCATCCTTGCCAAACTTAGTAATAGCTTTCATTAAATTCCTTGATGGTTTTTCTAGACAGGCAAACATAAACTCTAACCATAGGCTTCTTACTCACTTCTAGTCTGTGGGCCTGTTTCTCCCACTGCCTTAATAAAGGTCCTTTAAAAGTAATGGGCGGTAATGCCTTGTTCCCAGTCACACAGAGAAAGCACCTTGACTTCACCGTGACTGTGGCATTCTGTCAACACTCTTTATTTGGTGAACCCTAATATGCTTAAGAGTTGCTTTTATTATAAATGAGGGCTGAATTTTCTTTTGTCTGCATTTATGACAAAAAATTTATGAAATATAATTCATATGCCATAACATTCATTTTTTGTTTTGTTTTTGTCAAGACAGGGTTTTTCTGTGGCTTTGGAGCCTACCCTAGAACTTGCTCTGTAGACCAGGCTGGCCTGAAATTAAGATACGCCTGCCTCTGCCTCCTGAGTGCTGGGATTAAAGGCGTACACCACCAACACCCAGCAGATTCCTTCTTCTATATTCACCATCACTTCCTGCAACCTTTAGGATGCTCTGGTCATTTATACATTTATTAATCTAGTGAGTTGCACTGATTTAAAAATACTATCTCACCCTTTTATTCCTAGTATGATGTTTTTCTTTTTATATACAGTCAGTTTTTATTTGCTTATTACAGAATTTAAAAAAAAAATCACAATGATCTTAAAATAAAATACCTTGAATACTTAATACTTAGCAGTTAACAAAGTCTTAAATGTTGCCACAAAAATTTATCATTTAATCTTTTTAAAATGCGTTGGCCAGCACGTGGTTCACATTTTTAATCCTCAAAATTGCAGGGGCAGAAGCAGGCAGAGGTCTATGAATTCAAAGGCAACCTGGTCTATGTAGCTGAGTTGCCTGCAGGTAAGCAAGGTTTACACAGTAAGACCATGGCTAAAAAAAAAAAAAAAAAATCACATGGCTAGATCTTGGAGCCTACCTCAAATGGTAGAATACTTGCTTAGCATGTGGAAGCCCCTGGATTCAATCAAGGTTCTAAAAATCCACCTGAAAACCAAAACCACACAGCGCTAGGAGCAGAGAGCTCACTCAGTGGTTGGAGCTCATACTGCAGAGCTCTTGCAGAGGACTTGAGTTCTGGTCCCAGCACCACGATCAGGGCAGATAACAACCACCTCTAACTCCAGCTTCAGGAGACCTGACAACTCTGGGTTTGGGGACACCCATACTCATTCACCTATTTCACCACACATCCCCCAGCCTACATACACAATTAAAAATAAATCTTTGAAAACAAAACAAAACACAACCCATATAATACACGTGGCATACGTCACAGAATGGGAGGTGGAGGAGAACCAGGGGTTCAGCATATTTCTTACTGGAGCCTGCCTGAACTACATGAGACAATGCCTTAAAAAACACCAAACCAACAAAACAGAAGCCAGGTGAGTGTCTATAATTCCCCCTAGCTCCCTAGAAAGCTGAGGAAAGAGGACAGTCAGGAATCTGAGGCCAGCCTAGGCTAAAGAGGGAGAGAGTGTCAAAAAAAAGAAAGGAAGGAGAAAGGAAGCCCAAACCCAGAATAAACACACACACACACACACACACACACCCCAAACATCTGATCTACAGATAAAGTATTAAAGAAACCGTAACAGAACTAGGAGGTAAACGTAAATGATTTACATAATAAATAAAAAATAGCTTCACAATTGGGGATGTAGTTCAGTAGCAGAACACTTGACCAACATGCATGAAGCCCTAAATTCAATCCCTGACAGAAGTAAACTAGTTAATAATAATAATAGTAACAGGAAGGACTTGAATAGTAAAGTCTCTCATTGGTTGGTTTCAGGGCTTTGAGTAGACAGATCCTCCAGAAACACTACCTAAGATGCTTAAGATAGGGCTATGGGTGCAGCCCAGCGATACAGTGCTTGCTTGGCCTAACCAAGTCCCAGAGTTCATCTCCCACAATACAACAAGAAACCAGAATGCTTAAGGGATTCGATCTGCCCACATGTAGAGCTGAACGACCTGTAATCAGCATTACAAAACAAAAATAGAAAACCTTTCTGAAGCTATTTTTATTCACATTTCACGTAAGATTGAAGAATGCCGGTTTTGAAGATCAAAAGAATGGGATGCTAAGCCAGCCCATCCTCCTCCCTCAAGCACTGCCTGGCCCACTTTAGCACACCAAACTTACATCTCAAAGATAAGGTCTATAGGCTGCTCTCACTGCTTCAGAGCCACAAGAACTAAGGACTAAGGAAGGCGGTGGTGGCAGCATCACGCATCTAAGAGAGTACACAGTATTTCTGCCGAGAAGTGAAAAAGTAGACACATTCTCATCTCACTACAGTTCATGCTAATGAGGTGTGCAAAGATGAGAGCCTTCCAGTTTTTTCAGAAGTAACGTCATGTTCTTAAAAATCAGGTAACTAAAAAGTCCTGTTGCATGGTAAATGGTTAAAACTGGTATTGTTGAACTAAAGAAAATAAATGCAAAACCTTTTTTTCTTACAGAATAGTATAAATGTTTATTTTCTGTATGATTTATTCTTCTGCCCTGTTTTTACAATATAGAAAAGTGTACTTTTTGAATAGCTCTAGTAATATAATCTTTCTACTTTGGGATGTAAATAGGGCTTAAAAATTATGTACCGAACCCTCCCCAAATCTTTTAAAATTGGTGAATTAATGTGGCTATTAACTTTTTTTCAGCAATTTGATGCAAATGCCTAATACAAAAGGTTGTTTAGTGAGTACCAGACAGGAAGGAAGGGCTTGATACTTCAGAGAGCTTCTGAAAAATCAAAACTAGTAGCATTTGATTGCACCTTCAAGTTTTTACAAGCAAAACATTCTTAAGCAATGCCATCATACATAATCTACAATTATAATCAAAAATTCACAGACATTTTGTGCACACTGTATATAAATACACATCACAATGGTGCAATTAGAATTAACACATAATATATACAAAATGAACAAAGTTTAGGTTTAGACCAAAAACTTATTGCAGTCTTTTGAAAAATAACTTGATGAATATTATTTTGTCCTTTTAGACTAATTTACATTTATACAAACTTTACCTTGACACACTAGACTGAGGTGCTAAGAATGTCTGCACTATCTACATTTAAAGTTACTGCACTATAATTTATAAACCCACATTTTAAAAAGAGGACTTTAATGGAATAACGGAATCCTCTGTGCATTTAATTTCTACTACCTATACCTTTCAGGTTCATATGAACATATATACACATTTACTACATACAACTATAGAACCCTTGGAGGAGGGTAATAAGCATATGCTAATAGTTACCAAGGATTAAGGTATCTTACAAAATGCCTAAATTCCAACATAGTTTTTCCCTGTTATAAACTCAAAAGTTCTATTACAATAGGCTCCTAAGAGCATACAGTTTTTAATTACTGAAAATGATTTAGGTTACTTGTGCAATTATGAGAACACACATACTTCAGCCTACCAAATCACTGGCTAAAACAATGCTGTATTAAACTGCCTTTATAAAAAGAGCTCACGACAACTGTGAAAGCTGCTAGGATGCCCGTTCATTAAATCAGGTAACATATTGATTCAAACTTAGTTCCAAAAGTCTAGATACAGAGAACTGTGTGGATAAAAGCTTCATACATAATCTCACAGCTTTGTATCCTTGCTTCTCCATCCAAGTCAAATTCTGTACTTGATGATTATGAGTCCTACATTATCTTGGCATAAAATGTTTTCTTCAATTCACACGATCTCTCCTTTTAGTACTTATCCATAATGACTTTGACAATTATTATAAAACACACGACCTCCTTCAAAGAAAGTGAAGACATCCCAGAACCTGTTAGCCACTCCTCATCACAGAGACACACTGCCCATCCATCTGTCCCTTCATATTGTGTTTTCTTTAAAGAAAATACAACTTGTGTATCGGAAAAGTGTGATTGGGATTGTTTCCCCTTCTGATTTCCCAGAGACAATAGACAGTTGCATTCCAGAATTCACCCAAAAAAAGCTGATTTTTTTTCTTTCTTTAAAAGGATGGTGTTTTTCTAGACAAAATGTTCTGTTTCATTAAGAATCTGGGTATGTGGACATTCTACCTGTGAGTACTATGGTGTGGACATTCTACTGTGAATACTATGGGTCTGGAGCCAGAGAATGGGCAGCTGCTTTGGCCTTTTCTACTGAACAAAGTCATACAACATACATTATAAATGATATTACAATAATTTATGAATGTACTTTGTCAATGGAATCAGAAGGACAGAACATCTAATTGTTAAGAAACCCAAGCAAATTAAAAAAATATGTAATACAATAAAGGAAAAATATTTAAAGAAAAAAATTTAGAAGGGACATAGGCAGAATTAACTAAGATTTAAAATGTACTAATTTCTTCACTTAAAATTTCTTCTCATTCAATATTATAGCTTCAGGTCTCTTAAAACAAGGGCTGAATTAAAATACAGTAATTATTAAACTATCTTCTAGAAAATCAAGTGTTCCGGCACCTTAAGTTTCTGTACAGTCCATGTGCGTCTTTTGTGCAGGGCTAGCAGTGCATGGCACAAGGGTCACTTTTGGCTTTCCCTGCAGAGCTGATGACGCTCATCAGACACCGTCCAAACTCCTCCAGTATCATCCGCTCTGCCGCTGCCTTTGACTTCCCCTTCTTGTCTGCCTGCTCTGCCTGGGCAAGGAGGCAGTTACACGTGGCTTCAGCTACTTCCTTAGTTACAAATGTAAATGGCAATCTGAAATGATGTTTGAGAGAGAAACACGGGTGATCATGTGTACAGCATAAGGGACATCAGTTTGAATGAAAACACAGCCTCAAGAGCTCTAAGACACAGGTTTGGTCTCAGTGAGCATATCTAAAAGTAGTCACCAGAAAATACATTTAACATAAAACACATGATTTACTTCCCAGACAATGTTATCTGGCTCAATAACATGTGTAACTTTACACCTATATAGTGTGTTCTTCCACACCAATCTCCCCAGTGTGTAAATGCTCCGTTGAGTGCTGTCCTGGCTTGATGGCCTCTTTTCTGACACACAGAGGAATTCCATCAACACTACTGGAAACCAAAAGACCTACCGAAAACAAAGTTCTACCACACTCCCTCATATGAGTTGTTAAAAGAACACACAAGCCTGATGGATGTGTGGCTCACACCTTAAATCCCAGCACTCAGGAGGCAGAGACAGGCAGATTTCTTTGAGTTTGAGGCCAGCTGGGTCTACATAATGAGTTCCAGGAGAACCATGGCTACGTGGAGAGACCCTGTCTCAAAAAACAAAAAACAAAACAACAAAAACCCCACCAAATCCCCACCTTATTACATCACAATAAATAACAAAGGAGGAAAACAGACATGTTCTATGAAGGTAGTAGCCAAGTAGTTTCAAAGCATGAGAGAGATTAACAGAGGCAACTAACCACCTAAGGACTAAGGACACCCTGTAAGCAGTGATTCTTAACCTTCTTAATGTTTTGACTTTTAACACAGTTCCTCATGCTGTAAGTGAGCCCAACCATAACATTATTTTTGTTGTTACTTCCTAACTCTAATTTTTCTACTGTTATGAATCTTAATGTAAATATGATATCCAGGATGGTCTTAGGTGACCCTGTGAAAAGGTCTTTCAACCCTCAAAGGGGACACAATCTACTTGTTGAGAACTGCTGTAATAGATCATTTGAAAGGTTCAGTCTCTTAATAATTTCTCAAATTAACCTGTAATATACTGTGTAATATAAATCCAAGTCCAAATTACCATGTTAACAGCAGACCTTGAAAAATACTGGCAACAGAAATGCTTCATTCAGTTCCCAGAAAGCTGATACCAGTGACAGTTTGCTTTTCCCAGACTAGGGAGTAACTTAGACAGAAAACACTAGCTACCTACTTTTGTAGGCATATTTTTTTTTTCAGGTAATTATGTTATGTATTTATGTTTACCTTATACAGAAATATTTAAATATAATACCTTTGTTTATTTTCATTTAATAATTAATTTGATTATATTTACTGACTTGTTGTAGCCCTTGCTGTCCAGGAACTTTCTCTGTAGGCCAGGCTGGTCTCAAACTCAACCTTGAATGCACCTATCTCTGCCTCCTGATTGCTGGGATTAAAGGCATTCACCACCACACTCACCTGTTTATTTTTTATTTTGTTTTTAGACAGAGTAGTGCTTTATTGCACAGGCTGGCCTGTAATTCCAAATGACTCCTGCCTCAGCTCCTGAGCAGCTAAAGGCAGCCACCACTGTGCTGACTTCATGACTTAAGTCAAGCTTCTGCACTCCAGGGCTCCACAGTCTAGTGAGGCAGGAAACACTACCACAGTGCAATGTGGAACCCATGAAAAGGACTAGTCATCGTCAAGAGCACTAAGGAAATGAGGAGCAACACTGAAAGCACAATAACCCTGGGCTTTCTTAAGAGTTCCTCGCATTACATACTTACCCCAAGTTAGCAGAGAGAAAGCCCGTTAACTTCCATAGCAAACTACATAAATTCTGTGCGTTGTAGAACAGCACAGAATCTGACAGTGGTTTTTCTTCAACTCACTTAAAAGGCAAGTAAAGCGGAGGGAAATGGAAAACTCAGGTTGGCAACAGAGTCTGGATTTAACCTTGTCTCCTTAAAAAGAAAACTTACTAAAAATGAGCATCTGAGGCACAGATAAAAAGGCTTTAAGAAGTGTTGACTCACTTTCCTCCTCCACTGTTCAGGGCTGGGCTTGGCCTCGTCAGCAAGTCTGAGATCTGAGAGGACAGCTTGGTCTTGGCTGCTGTCTGTTGCTGGACCCTCACTTCAGCTGCATCTGCTAAGTGCATCAAGGTCTTCCGTTCTGGGCTTTCTTCAAAATTCTTACAGCCGATGCATTTGCAGATTGAGGAACACATTATTTTTGCCTGAAAGATTTACAAAAGGGAAGTTACCAAATCAAAAGTAGGTTCCACAACAGAAAAGTAATAGCATTTTCTTGTCAACCAAGGTAAGCTTAGACAGAAGCAGGCTCTGCCTGTGGGTAGAAGAAGGAGTACTTGAGAGTGGGGTTTCACTCAAGGCCTTCCATCTCTCTCCCACTCTCATGTCAGCGTCTCACCCAGACAGGACTAACATTTTCTTCAGAATAAATATAAATAAAACATGAGAATATTTGTAAAAGGCCACTAAGACTCCAACCCCAATCAAATCACCTGATTAACAAACCAGTGACCTCACCCTTATGCAGGCAAACTCACAATTTCACATTAAAGGGATTTCATGCCTCAGCTTGGTCAGATGAGGTAGAAAGACCGGCTGTCATAAATTTGAAGCCAGCCTAGGCTACAAGTGTGAGCCTTATGTCAAAAGGACAAAGGGGAAAAAGGATTTCAAGCATTGCTTTTTCCTCCTTCACTGGAGCAGATTACCAAGTCCTTCAGTAATCAAATCCCTAAGCCAGCATGGTCTCCTATGTAAAAATAGAAAGTGTATTTACATGAAAACACAGACTGAAGCTAGGTATGATAGCCATTGGAAAACGGAAGCAGAAAGGTTAGTGGTTCCAGGCCAGCCTATGCTGCATGAGCTTGTTTTATAAAAAATCTCCTGATGGCTTTGGAGCACCTCCTTTCCTTACACTTCACAACTCCCAGCCACCCAGTGGAGCTGGGCCCCTGGCATGACCTGCCATGTTTGTGGGTCATTCATTACCCTAATAATGGGTGTTTATTTTGTTTACAGTTCTTGGGAAACAAAGTCATTCATAAGAAATGTGTGTTTCTTTGTTTGTTTGTTTGTTTGTTTGTTTGTTTTAGAGGAAGGAGTGTCAAAATACAACTTCCAAGTCTCTGACCTAGATTCTTTAAGAATGGACTCTTGGTCAAAGCATATGTGTATTTTAAATGATGTGGTTTGGTTGATTTTACAGCCCTAGAACCACATACCTCACCAACGTGTCCTTTAAGGCTTGCCTATATTTCCACCAACATGGGTACTATAACAATTTTTACTATTTTCCTGAATAATTTTTTAAAATTATTTTTGAGACAGGGTCTCTCTACATAGCTCTGAGTGTCCTGGAACTCACTATATAGACCAGGATGTACTTGAATCCACAGAGATCTACCAGCCTCTGCCTCCCAAGCACTGGAGTTAAGGTGTGCAACACATGCTGGGCTTCCAAGGTGATGAGGAAAAGTGTCTGTGAGACAAAAGATACACAGGTTTGGTTCTCTCTGAGACACTGGTGAAGAGGGAAGGTCAGCTAGTTGTTCCTCACCCCAGCCTCTGACTCCGGAGTCTTACTGATAAATACAACGATAGAGATTTAGTTAAAAGCTACATTTGGTGGCAGTGGCAGGAGGCAGATCCACCAGGCCACTGCTTCCAAAGCAGACCAGTAACTGAGAGATAACAAGTGCTGGTTGAAACAGCAGTAGATTCAGGGGCAGCCACTGTGTGATGGAAAAACATGGAGAAACTATGTTATCTACTTAGCTTTGCTAATTCACCCGCTCCAAAAGTCAAATTGGAGCTACGGAAACACAAAAAAGAGCAGAAGCCTTTAAACAGTATAATCAAATAATCCTTGAGGATAGGTGAAACAAACTTGAATGTGTTGTCCAGAGGTACAGCAACAGGACCAAAAGCCAATTCAACTGCATGTCAAGGTAGCAACAGAAACATCCAACTGTTAGGAAACATCATCAAAGTAATTGGTCAATTAACCACCACTATTCATGGCTGACTTAGGCCTAGTTTTTTACTTTTCTTTCCTTTCTGTAGATGAGTTTTACAATGTCAAGTCAGTTGTTAGTCAGTGTGGATATTTGGATATAGCTTCTAACACATTCTAACCACCCACTATCTTTTCTACTTCTACTAACCTGTAGACTGTTAACAGCTCAATTTAATGATCAGGTTCACATATGTGTGAGATCCTGGCTGCTCTGCTCTGAGCCACACACTAACTGCCTGTGCCCTCTGACTTAGCTTTTGACACAGCAGAGCCTGTCTTCTCCTCTTCTATAGAAGTGCTCCAATGGCTTCCAGATCCAAACTGTATACTTGTTTCTTACATATTCACTCCCAAGTTTCTATGACATGGCTATAAATATAAGCCGAGTGTTTTGAGTTATTCCAACGAAAAAGCAAAAGTATTCTAGCATTGGCTGAAAAACTGGCTTGATAGATTTCCAGAAGTTACAGAATTAAAAAGTTCATATATTTTCTATGAGAAGCTGATTTTTCAACTACATTACTTATTTTCAGATAAATACATACAAGCTAGGATTGTACATTCTGGGCACGTGCTTGACCTCTGCGCTGCATCAACCAGCACTTGACTTTTTAAACAGTAAAATCACAAACCCTTACTATGCTTGGTTCCATATGGGAGAAGGTAATGGAAACAGGAGATAGTTTCCAGGAAGAGCACACCCATCAGCAGTGTTACTTTGCCTAGTGAAAGGAGAGGTTTTCTGTCAAAATTGGTGGTGGGGTATTCCCCTCTGAAAATGACATCTGAAAGAATGAAAATACAGACGAGCTGACTATAGAAATGATTCAACCCAAAAAGGGTTAATATCAGGCACTGGCAGCTTTGGAAATAAAAAAATAATGCCAGGCGTTGGTGTCATACTCCTTTAATTTCAGCTCTTGGGAGGCAGAGACAGAGGCAGGTGGATCTCTCTGTGAGTTGGAGGCCAGCCTGGTCTATAGAGCGAGTTCCAGGACAAGCTCCAAAGCTACAGAGAAACCCTGTCTCAAAAAACAAACAAAATAAGAAAATAAAAATGAACAAGTTTAAGATGTTGTCTGAAGCAAGCAGATGATTTTACACGTAATCTGTAAAGACAGTGCAGTAAGTCCATTCTCCAGAGGAAATAGCAGGCACAGGAACAAGACCAGCTGGCCAAGCATCAGGGAAGCAGGGAGCGGGATTTGGTGAGCAGCAGTCCACACGTTCCCTCCTGCAGAGTAGTCCTCCCCAAGAGACTACTGGCAGTTTAGTAAAGACACCCTTTATTTCAGGGTTACCCAAGAATGAAGGTTACTGGTGTCCATACATATCTAGACTAGGTGGGTAAGACTGCGTCTTGGCCTAGAAGCCCTGCTCTGTGGCTATGTGACTATTATAAGTGAAAACATAGTAGACTGGTGTTCTGATTTACATGCTTTTGCGTAAGGTCCATTAAGCATAGACTTGTAGCTCAGCTAATGAAAGCAAATGAACCCATGAGGAATGAGGAGCCTGAGGAATGCTCTTCTCAAGCCCTGCTTGGAGGGTCCCCGGCTTGCCTCATGCAAGGATCCTGCACTAACTGCATACTTTCAGTTGTAACTGAAAGTGATGGGCCAGTTCTGAAGTGATGTTTCCAGAGGTGGCAAGATTATGTCCATAGCCAGCATCTTACCTCATAGCACTCACAGTAGTTCTTCAGACACCCTGATCGCTTGCAATTACACCCTTTGCTATGCCGCCGGTCAGACTCTCCCTCTTTTCCTTTCCCTATCTTCGGTTTAAAGGCTTCCGGATTCCTATCAAGGCATGCCTTTTGGAACAAATCAGATACCAGCGAGGTTACATCATAGATTCAACTTAAATACTTCAAAGGTAAAAAATTAGCATTTATCTTTGTAAAGCAACTGAGTTCTTTAAAAATATTTTTGTAAATTAAATGAAAAGAATCACCTTTATTGCTTTTTGTCTTTCATTTTCATGTTCCAAATTGTTGTAACAATTGGTACAATTACAGTTGTTGCAAAACTCACCATTTGCAAAGCAATCACAGTACCTGAAGATAAAAATCAATAAAAGATTATAGTCAGTTTAAATGAAATAGCAATTACCTGATTATACACATACACCTTCTACACCTGTGATAAATGTAGCACATTTTAGAAATGTGCTCAGAGCTCCTAAGACAGAGTTAACACAGCACATATAGATTGTCAATCACATATGAGAGCTCAAAATCTGAGCCACTACCTCCTGGAATTTCAAACTTAGTTAAACTAGCAGATGCCAACACAGGAGCTATGTGACTTGATGTGCCCTTGAGTGAGTTATTTCAAAATCTTGAGAAAAGGGGACTGGTTCATTCTAACTACAGACTTCCAGAGGCTGGAACAGTGCTGCCTGGGATCTCAAACCTCCTATAGGACAAGTACTTTTCACTGAAACTTTTCATGTTAAGTCTTTTAGTTTAATCCTAATGAGAAAATTAGTCATCTAATTAACTTGGATTTATTTATTTATTTAATGTGTGTGACTGTTTGTCTGCATGTATGTATGTGTCTGGTGCCCATGGGTGTCAGAAGAGGGTGTCAGATGCCCTGAGATTAAAGTTACAGATGATGGTGAGCAACCATTGGGTGTTGGGAATTGAACCCTGGTCCTCAGCAAGAGCAACTAGTGCTCTTAATTATTGAGCCAACTCTCCAGCCCTCATTCAATGGCTAAAACTACAAGTAGGTTCGGTGCTGGTGGCACACTCCTTTAATACCAGAACTCGGGAGGCAGAGGCAGATGGAGCTCTGTGAGTTTGAGACCAGACTGGTCTACAGACAAGAGTTCCAGGACAAGTTCCAAAGCTACTGTACTGGAAAAAAAAAAAAAAAAAAAAAAAAAAAATCAAAACTACCAGTATTTCCAGGCTTGGGGACCACATAAGGTCTTAAACAAGAGCAAACATGTTAATAATGAGACATAACCTACAGCTCATTTTGCTGGGTCCCTAGGCCCTACTAGTGTATGGAGGACTGACTCTAAAATTATTTTCTTCTGTTTTTGTTGTTGTTTTTACAGACAGGGTCTTACATTATGGTGTATACTGTCCTTACACTGTCCCAAACTCTTTATCATAGACAGTCCAGAATGATCCTGAGCTCTTGTTAGTTCTCTGGTCTCAATCTCCTCAGTGCCAGGATCATAGGCATGATGAGCCACCAAGGAAAGATAGTTTTTATGCTACTGCATGAGCTCAACCATTCAAAACTAGTTTCATTTAATTTTAAGAACATTTCTAGGTGTATCAAATGAGCAAAGGATAATAAACTACTCACAATTTCAAGCACAGTGACTTTGTACAATTGCAGGGCTTTCTGGGCCGACTGGCAGACTCTGATGGGATTATGCTATTCAGACACATACAAAAAAATAATTTCAATTAATTAAAATAATTAAACAAGAAACAACTTCAATCTATAAATTTTTCCTAAAGGAAAACCAATAGATGCATCCCTTTCTAGCAAAGTTTAAAAATATTATCAACACACACTCTTCCCTTTAAAAGAACACAAGTTGAGAATAGCTTCAAAACTCCTTGGGTTTACTTATGAAAAGAAGGCAGAAGGAGAGTCTGCTGTGTGGAGGATGGGATAGCAGGGACAGACTGGCAGCCTCTAACTAACTCCATGCTGCTCACAAGCCAGTAGAGCAAAGGCAGCAACTAACAACTAAATAACGACAAAAAGCCAAAGCCCGACACAGTGAGCCACAATGGTTACAATTTTACAACCTTCAGTGAGTGAGCAAATGTGGCAAAACTGTCAAAGGACACAAGGGCGCCTCACTGATGGCCTCTAGACTTGTCCATTGGAAATATTTCAAAACAGAGCACTTTAGACAAATACACAGTTTTAAAGAGAAAACCAAATGCAATACATCTATAATATCTATTTAATGCTGTACTTGAACTGACTTAATAATTTAATTTACATATTTTAAAAATACTCACCCATTGAATGGAAGCCTTGCCTGTGTCTGGATACCAGATGTTCCAGTAAAATTAGAGTTGCTTGCTATAGATACATATGAAGACTGCTGCAACTGTTGGCAAAGAAATAAATTCATATAATATTTGCAAAAATGGATAGCACTCTCAGACATAACAATGAGTAAGAAGTGTGTCTACCCAAAAAGTGAAAAACAATGGGAATTTCACATAAACCTCATGATATGTTTCCAAAGACACTAGTAAAACAGCATTGACTGTTACAGATAGAGAAAAAAATACTTAACAAAGAACTGTCAGGATTATAGGATCTTCTAGGAAAACATCCTGCAAGTACTGAAATAGCATCTCTTAACTAGTAAATGAATGTGCCCACTTGTAAGACAGGCACTGTATTACAATTACAAACAATAAAAAAAGGGCACTCCACACACAGATTCTATTCTGCATTGCTGTATAAGAATATGAAATGTTCCAGTAAAAATATGGAACTTTTAAAAAAAAAATCACACACAGCCACATAAGATACTGCACATAGCAAACAACACATGTGGGTTTTCATTCTCTTGTTATCAGAGCTCATTAATTCAGCAACTTGGAACATAGTGCTCATTTGCTCAGCACTTACAACAAAGGAAACTTCTATCTTCATCTGCTTCATGTTAACAGCAAGCACTCCCAACCCAACTTGACAGGAGGTATATGTACCTTCCCTTCTAAAGGGAAGCCAGAAAGCAGGAACAACTCACTAAAAATATGACATGTTAGGGGGTAGAGATGGCAAACAGGAGAGAGGATCAAGCCAGGCACAGTGAGTGGCGCACGACTTTAATCTCAGCACTCAGGAGGCAGAGGCAGGCAAATCTCTGTTGAGTTCTAGGGTCTTTTTGGGATCCCCATGGTATTACAGCATCCCCAACCATCAGGAAACAGTTTGGAGAAAACGACACCCACATTCCCAAATATTGTTTATAAATGTTTATTTTCATTTATATAGGGTTGATTATAAATGGTAATGATCACAGTCAATCTCTTTTTAAAGGAAAAAAAAGAAATGATATAGGAATGAATACTTTGCACTGGTATAGATTTTCATTTATTGATACAAATTTAAGGTCAAATTTGTGATATGTAAATTTCTCTTCTTGTTTAGGTACTGTTTATACAAATCAAAGAAACTTGTTATGGAGTTTGCTTTTGATATAGCAAGTCTAGCCATTTGGGCAAGAAACTGCTAAAGAGTGACTGCAAACCTTGCCTAGACTGTTTGACTGTTGCTGTATAAACTAGACATGCAGGACCCACAGGAAAATGACTGCTGAACTCAAAACAAGATGGACAGTCCTAAAAGTTTCCTGCTTCGTGGAGGAGTCTGCAGGACACAGAGAAAAGTAACTGACAGTTTAAAAATTCCCTGCTTCACTGAGAAGTCTGTCAGACACACTGTGGCCTATGGGCCAAAGATGGAACATTACAGAAAAACTTTGGATGACTGTCCAGGTAGCGAATATCTCTGTCATTTCTAGAGTTTATATATTATCCTTCTGTGGTCTTTGATGGAATTGAATACAGATAGTTATGGTTATACTTTTCCTTAGCTGGGTTAAAGATAAGTGACATATAAGACTTTAGACTCACAAAGATAGGATAGATGATAAAATATTTTTTTTAATTCTTGATAATGTTAATGAACTAAATATTGTAATTACAGTTCTTGCTTAATAACGGTTTTGTTATATGTAATTTTACTATATTAAAATTAAAACCTTTTGCTGGGTATTGGTGGAACACATCCTTTAGTCCCAGCACTCAGGAGGCAGAGGCAGGCAGATCTCTGTGAATTCGAGACCAGCCTGGTCTACAAGAGCTAGTTCCAAGACAGCCTCCAAAGCCACAGAGAAACCCTGTCTTGAAAAAAAAAGTTAAAACCCTTCTTTTTATTTAGACAGAAAAGAGGAGATGATGGGGAATGTTCTGTTATGCTTGTCTTACTGGTTGATGAATAAAATACTAATTGGCCAGGCAGGAAGTGATGTAGCATGACAGATATTGCCACTAGCTAACCACAGAGGCCTGGAGGTCTGTACAGACAGGAAAGGAGTGACGTAGCTGGGCAGAATCAGAATATAAGCAGGGACAAACAGGAAATTGCTTTATTCTCTACAGAGATGCATCAGGCAAAGGAGATACAGGTCTGGCATTCCAGGTAAGCCAAGACTACATGGAAACACTAAGATTAATTATTAATGTGTTAATAATTAAGCTAGAGCTAGCCAATAACAAACCATAGCCAATGGCAAACAGTTTCCTAATTTATACAGAGTCTCTGTGTGTTATTTGGGGCTGATGCAGCTGTGGGCCCAGGCTGTTGGGAAAGTGCCTGTAACATCTCTACAGAGTTCCAGAGATATACAGAGAAACACTGGTAGTTTGAATGTAATTGGCCCCCATCAGGTCATAGGGGGTGGCATATTAGGAGGGATGGCCTTGTTTCAGGAAGTGTATCACTGTGGGGGTGGGCTTTGCTCAGTATACTTTCTGTTGCCTCTGGATGAAGATATAGAACTCCTGGCTCCTTCTCCATCATCATGGATGTCTCCATGCTGCCATGTCCCACCATGACCAAAATGGACTAAACCATGAACTTTTAAGCCAGTCCAATTAAATGTTTCCTTTATAAGAGTTCCCTAGAATACTGAATGGACTTTGGGAGCCCATTCCACATAAGAGGGATACTCCCTCAGCCTAGACACATGGGGGAGGGCCTAGGCCCTGCTCCAAGTGATATGACAGACTTCGAAGATTCCCATGGAAGGCCTCACCCTCCCTGGGGAGCAGAAATAGGGTGGGATGGGGGGTTGGTGGGGTGGGTAGGGGAGAATGGGAGGGTTCGGGAACTGGGATTGACATGTAAAACAAGCTTGTTTCAAATTTAAAGAAAAAAAAAGAGTTGCCATGGTCATGGTGTCTCTTCACAGCAATAGAAACCCTAACTAAGACAAATCCTGTCTCAAAAACAAAACAAAACAAAAAACCAAACAAGAAAAGAGAACAAGGTTTGGGTCCCCAGCACCCTTGTAAATGCCCAGTAGTCTTGGTGATTCCACCAAAGCCCTAGTGCTTGGAAGGTGGAGGAGGGATCACAAGGAAAGATGGCTATTAGCTAATTCGCCTCGTTCTAAGTTCAAATAGAGAGAATGGAGGAAGACACTGGCCTCTGGTTGAATAAGTGAGCACACACGTGTGATGTGGTGCATACTCACCTGCAGACACGTGCCCCTCATGCATGCACACATACATGACACCATACACGAACACAAACTCTCTCTGTGTGAGACATGACACCTTGGCTGAAAGCGGTGGTTCATGCCTATTCTCCCAGCACTTTGAAGGTGGAGGCATGGTGAATTCCAGGCCAGTCTAGGCTAGAATGAGATCCTGTCTGAAAAAAAAAGTCCCTAAAAAATGTAACTTACAGTTTATTTTCAAGTGGTGTCATATTTGTATGTACAGATGAACATTAGTGTGGGCATAGGTTTTCCTAAATTCACTGAGATTTTGACTTTAATGTCAACTTTTGGGGGGAAGGCAGGTTTCTAGACAGGGTTTCGCTGTTAACATCACTGGCTATACTGGAAAGTGCTCTATAGACCAGGCTGGCCTTGAACTCACAAGTCCACCTGCCTCTGCCTGTTAGGACTCAAGGCATGCACCACCACCGCCCAGCTTAATGTCAATTTTTTAAAAAGTCTTATGTATAGTCTTGCCTTATCACCAATCTATTCAAAATTGCCCAACTTTTAAATCTTATTTGTGCTGTATATTTCTAAATTCTAAACAAAGAAACCCAAATGTTCAATAACTATATCAACTTTTCAAAAGAGCTATTTTAATATAGAGCTTACACAGTAGAGCTAGACATACTAACGCCAAATAGCAGTTCCGCTGCCTTAGCCCTTCACCCCCACGTACCTGAGTGACGTACTGAGCAGGAAGTACTGCGTAGCCCACATTCCCTGTTCCTGGAGCTGGGGCCAGCACGGTACCTGGAGGAAGGTTAGTGAGGTTGGGCTGGATCTGAGGCAGTGGTGTGGCAGGCATGATGAGCCGTTGCTGTGGCTGGCTAGTAGTTACTATTTGTGAAGTTGAATTCATTGGTTTTGGAACAACCTAAAAAAAAAAAAAAAAATTTTTTTAAAGGAACATTAGTGACTAAATCATAAAAAAAGAAACATCAATTAAGCTGTTTAACTCAGTATAAATGTCTTATACATAAAACTCACTTGTTTAACGGCCTGCGTTGGGACAAATGGAACGGACATCCGTACGGGGGTTGTATTAACAACCACTGGTTTTGCTTTTTCAAAGGAAAAGAAAAAAAGAAAGAAAGAAAGTTTATTTACAGAAAACAGTACTCAAAACCCTTGGGAATACTCATGCTTTGAGACATACTTAAGAGACATTTAAGGCTTTCCTCCTGCTTCTCATTTTGAGCAATCTTTAATCAAGATAGTTACCTTTCTTGGGAGACAGGGGCAGGTGGATTTCTGGGAGATGGAGGCCAACCTGGTCTACACAGTTAATTCCAGGACAGCCACTGCCACATAGAGAGAGCTTGTCTCAAACAAAAACAAAAACAAGAAAAGTTGCTTACTCCACCCAGCAAATCTAAGTCTGAGGTGAGTAAGCAACCCAGCTGAGGACTATCTGCAGGTTCACGGCCTCCACTGAAATCCCCTCAGCCTCTGCTCAGAAACCCTCCACAACTCTGTACAAATCAGCTACCTACACCATCCTGTGCTACTATTTCTAATTCCTGACTTTTAATTCAAGCTACAGATAAGATTGTGCTGTAGAGCTCCATATTTGAAATATACAACAGGGCAATAAGGTTAAGAATCTGAGTTTTTGAGCTAGCTAGATGGTTGAGTAAGTAAAGACTGGATTCAGTCCCTGAAACCTGTATAATGGAGGGGAAGAGCCAACTCCTACAACTCTGACACATACACATGTGCACATGCCATGCACTCACACACATACACTCATATGCACACACTCATGCACAAAAAAGCATATATGCATACATAACATACATGAACATACACACATGTACACACACATACCCACATACATACACACACAGACACGCACACTCAAATATATGCACACCCACTCACATGAATGTGCAAACACACACTAATTAAAAAATAAGTTCTAAAGTCAGAGGACCCAGTGGTTGAAACCCCAGGTCTGCCACTTTTAACTGTGCAGTCTCTTTGCTTGCAATTTGCATAGTAAATACCCAGACAGGGTATAAGGATTAAAGATGTTAATTCATTAAAGTGAACTAGAATCATTTCCACCAAATAGCAAGTGCTCAATAAACATCAGTTATCATTACTACTGCTATTACTGTAACCACTGCTACTATATAAATATAAATGATATTCCATATAAATGATATTTAGTTTCCTGCTCACAAGGAAACCAAGATATAAAGCATTTGTTCTTAAGATTATATTGTTGAACAGATTAGGCAAGCACCCAAATTTTAAAAAAATTAAATATTTTTAAGATTTATTTTAGATGTATCAGTGCTTTGCCTGCCTGCATTTATGTCTGGTACCTGTGGAGGTTCAAATAGTGTGTCAAATCCTATGAAAATGGAGTTAGGTTAGAAGTATTGCTGAGTTGCCATCTAGGTGCCGGGAACTGAACCAGGTCCTCTGCAAGAGCAGCATGTACTGTGTGTACTGCTGGGCCATCTTTCCAGACCCACAGGGAAACTGAATCATAATCATAGAAGTGACTTTACAGGCACTGGGCAGGTTATACTTATGAGTATGTTGTGTGTATGAACAATTAAACAGAGCCAATGAATTTGAGAGAAAGCAAAGCAGGGAAAGCATGCGAAGGGATGGAGTGAGGAAAAGGAAAAAGTAAAATGATGTAACTATTTTTAAATTTCAAGAAATGAAAAAAATAAGATAAACTGCTTTGAGATTAAAGAAAGGAAGAAAGAAAGAAAAGGAAATATACATTTGTTGGCAGAAAATGGAATGTAGAAAGAATGCAGAGAAGGTAGCATGAGAGGCCCAGACATGAGGGAGTGGTGTAGGCAGCCAGACTGTGGCCGGACTTCTCTGCAGACAGAAAATGAGAAGCAGAGGCTGTAAGCACTCACATTTCTGAACACACATCGGTCTAGGTGGACCTTAGGGTGGATGTAGACAACGGAACACAAGGGAGGTTGCTGAGGAACCTGGAATGTTAAGGTAGAAATGTGTATACTTATCTGTTTTTGTTTGTTTTAAGAGAGGGTCTACCTATAAAGCCCTGGCTGTCCTGGACTTTCCTATGTATATCAGGCTGGTACTGAACTCACAGAGATCCACCCATTGGTCTCTGCTTTCCAAGTGCTAGGATTTAAGGAACATACCACCACCACTTGGAAAGAAATTGTATTCTTTATTTTAATTTTAAATTTTGAGACATTTGTTTTCTCACTATGTAGCACTGGCTGGCCTGGAACTTCGTATATAGACCAGGCTGGCCTTGAACTCACAGAAATCTGCCTACCTCTGCCTACCCCAGTGCTGGGATTGCAGGCGTGTGCCATAATGCCCATTCTTACTCTGTATTTTTAATTCTACACACAAAGAAGTTTTTAGGGAATCTGGGGTACCTAAATATTATGAAAACAGCACAAAGCAAATTTTATTTGGTGGCAGTGTGTAAAAACAAAACAATCCAAGTCAAGCTGCAAGAAACAAGACAACATAGGTGAGTGTAAGCACGAAGGAGTGGGTGCCAGCACAGGGTTAGGTAGAGCATGCATGTCAAAGATCTGGCAGAAGTGAAAGGAAATGCCCCCACCGCACTGCCAGTGCTAGGAACAGTGGGTATAAGGGAGAAAGGACCAGCCATTGCAGAGTCATCCAAACTGTTAGATGATGGCTATTAGAACTAAAAACTTCAGGTGAACTGAGCTTCAGAGGACACAACATGATGTAGGGAAATGAAGGATAAACTCAGGAAACAGGTTGACAACAGACTAAAGTACTTGGTCTAGAGCCAATTAAATGTAATTATGAAAACTCTACTGCCATTTCCATAGCTTTGAAAGGGGTGGTAGTAAGAAGATAGGAAAGGTATCACCTGGGGTTTCATTTGTTCAAGAGTAAAGCTCAGAGCCTGGTCTCAAAGCCAGTACTGGAAAAAAAGGGTGTTATACACAATAAATGAAAGGGTCTTTGTATAAAAAGGCCATCATGATATCGATGGACTTCTTTCTTCTTAAACTTTTGATGGAGTCCAGCAGGCTGCAGATGGCCCTAGATGACTGCTCTACAGAGAGGGTACCCTGATTTCCAGGGGAGCCGGCTGCTAACAAGGTACAAACTGGGGAGGCCACAGCGGTGGAAGGAAGCACAGAGTACTGTCAGTGAGGTCAGTGAGGGTGACAGCACAGCTCTCATGGGGCTGGAGATGGCTGGCTCCGTGGGGAAAGCACTTGCCTCATAAGCATGAGCACCGTGGACCCACAAAAAGCCAGACACTGTAGAGTGCCTCATCCTGGCATTCCTATAGTGAGATGGGAGCTGAGGCAGGGGAATCCTGAAGCTCAAGGAGCTGGCTAGAATGGTGTACCAAGCAGCAGACAACAGGCGCTCTCAACAAGGTGAGAAATGACAAGGCTGTCTTCTGACATCCAGATGTGCTACGACAAGTGTATACCTGAACTCACATTTGTGTGCATGCACAAAAACAAAATAAAAGTGCATTTGAAGGTGCATATAAAATATTTCAATAAAGTTATGATACAAATAATGCATAAGCAGTATGTAGTTGTTTGAATAAGAAATGACCCCACAGGCTCATATATTTGAATGCTTAGGCACCAGAGGGTGGAACTCTTTGAAAGGAATTGCCCTCGACTACTTCTCCAGAACTCTGCCTACCATACCTGCAGCCATGCTCATTGCCATGATGATCATGGAACGAAACTGTAACCTAGCTCCAATTAAGTATTTTCTTTTACAAGAGTTGCCATGGTCATGGTGTCTCTTCACAGCACTAGAACAGTGACTAAGACACAGTGCAATGACATTGAGTTTGATTTTCCTGTTACACCAAAGGATGAATAATGTTATAAAACACCATTACAGACTAGTGCTAGAACACTGGATTTAAGAACAAAGTTCAAACTGACACTTGACCCCTAGCACCTGCTCTTTGGAGAGGGGAAAGGATGGTCACCAGCTGTGAGAACATACACAGCAAGCAGCACATATAGGAGAAATCTCTGGTGCTCTGGTGCTCAGGAAAAAACACCAAAGGATTGTGACCTGCTCAGTCATATCAATATGGGGTTGTCTTCATCTTCTCCCCTCATGCATGCACAAATGTGAGTTGCACACACCCCAGGAAACTTTGGCACCCATTTACAGTAATGTACCTAATGGACTAGAGCACCTCTTTTGCTCATCTGTTAAAACTGTAACTTCAACTTGCTATTCCTATAAAATGATACATAGTATAAATAAATATGTAGATTCTTTTATGGAGAGGACAGACAGAAAAATGTTAGGTGCCTATGAAAGAAACTCCATACACAGTGTATGTATGTGAGCAGGTTGGAAGAGGGTGGAGTAAGGTGAAGGAGACAAAGAGACAGAAGAGGCAAGCAGGAGGCAAAGGAGTTTGGAAGCAGGAGTCAGTCCAGAGACTGTAGAGGACAGAAGGAAAAGAAACTGAGGAGGAAAATGCACAAAGGGACTATAAGTCCACTCCTCCCACTTCCTGCATCTTCGCTTCACTGTTTTTACTCTACCAATGAATAAAACAATGCTAGTGTTACCCTGGGAACGGAGTCGTGGCATACTACACACACACACAAACACCCACAAAATACAACTGACAATAACTAGCAAGTGCTTTATATCACACAATATATAAGTAGATTGGATCAGTCCCTACAGTATGGAGAAAACAAAATTTGACTCTTTTAGTTCATGATATGTAAATTTTACTTTCCTTTCATTAAGAACCTTATGATAGGGGCTGGAGAGATGGCTCATCGGTTAAGAGTCCTGGCTGTTCTTCCAGAAGGATCTGAGTTCCCAGCAACCACATGGTGGCTCACAGCCATCTATAATGGGTTCTGATGTCCTCTTCTGTCATGCAGGCACACATGCAGGCAAAACACTTGCACATGACAGATTGATAGATGGATGGACGGACAGCAGGCAGGCAGGCAGACAGACGAAGAGAAGTGCTATGATGGGGCCAAGGAGATGGCTCAGTGGGTAGAGCACCTGCCACTAAGCTTAAAGACCTGAGTTTGATCCCCAAGACGCACATAATGGAAGGAGAGAATCAGCTTCCACAAGAGAACTCTGGACAAGTGCATGACACTTGACCCACCCTCAAAGGGAACTAAAACCAAATAACTGTCTGGTAATTGATTCTTCCAAGCATTTCTGCACTTGGCTTTGTGGTATTGGGGATCAAGCCTCAGGCCTTCCTTACACACAGCAGGCAAGCAACCCACCACTTAACCACACACTCATGTCTTCAGTCTGACATGTTGGAACATGAAGCAGTTTACCACGCAAAAACAGGCTCTAAGCACTAAGCTTTCTGAACCTGTCATTCTGCTCCACTTTTAAAAGGCAGCCAGTATGAGAACAGTTCCATGTGTGTACACATGTCTCAGATAACTGGAAGGCTTGCTTGCTGGCAGAGTCTCATTGCTCACTGGCCCTGAAACTTCAAGATAAATGAGGACCTTGAACTTCTGTTCCTTCTTCGTCCACCTCCCATGCACTGGGTTTACAATGTGAGTACAACCACACCCAGTCTGTGGTGCTAAGCAGACCTATGGCTCTGGGCATGCAAGGCAAGCACTCTACCAACTGATCAGTACAGGGCCAATTATAAAGCAAGTATTATTCAAAAAAAGATTAAATTGTTACATTCTTATTTATACACTGACCACCTGTCATTTCAATTGACCCAAGCTTTAGCAAAGAGCTGCATATTTCAGAAAATAAATAAAACTATCCCACTGACATAAATAGTAGAGGGTTTAAGCTAGCAGCAAAATAGCTACTCAATTAACTAATACTCATGTGGTTTTATAACAACTAACTTCTCAAAGAATGAAATAGTAGTTACATACAGCTATGCTCTCACTTCACAGTCTGCTGTAGCAATCAGTGCTCATTCATACTGTCACAGGAAATGCCAGATTTAACAATGTCCTTTAACAATGTTAAAAGCATTCACTGCTGTTAAAAGAAATATGGTCACAAACCTTGCTGAAGAGGCTGAGTGTTTACACTGGGACTCTGACTCGCTGGCTGGGCTGAGTTACTGGCTGTTGTGGCGGTAACAAGTCGGACATAATGAAACTTGCTTCCAGGCACTTGGATCTGCTGAACATTGGGAGCAGTTGCCAGAGGAATGATGGTCTTAAACTGTGATGTGCTCATCCCTCCAACAGTGATGGTCTGCACAGCTGATTTCACTGCCTGTCAAATAATACAGACAACATGCCACCATTAATCTGTTAATTCAGGACAGTCACTACAGTAACAGAGTGTGCTCTTAAGTCTCATCAACAACTTGTTCAGAAGGAAATGAAATCAAAAATTCAGCTGGAGCTGGAGAGTTGATGGCTCAGAGGGAAGCACTATCCAGAGAACCCAGAGTTTGGTCCCCAACATCAATGTGAAGCAGCTCACAACCATCTGCAACCCAATTTCTGGGACCCAATGTACTACTCTTCTAGCCTCCACAGACACCTGCACTCATATGCACAAAACCACACACACACACAAATAAAAATTAACCTTGAAAAACTCAGGAGAATTTGAAGAGCAGGGATGAAGATATATGAGGATATGGGAGGACTTGGAGGAAAGAAAAAAGGAGGAAAATATTGTAATTATAATCTCAAAAATAAAAAAATTTAAAAACTAAAAAAAACCCAAGAATGTACACAATTTTGTGTCTATTAGGTAAAATTTATGAGAAAGGTATCATATTTTGACTCTCAGAATTAAAAAGAGAATATAGATGTTTTCACCAAATAAACTATTGTTTTGTTGAACATGTTCTAAAGAAGGACCATTCTGTTCCTGTACCAAGTTTACTTGATTTTGAAAGGCTACAACATATACCACCCTGCTGTACAAATCTATGGACATGATGCCAAATACTGTTCAAAATTATTCCAATTAATGGCTGTCTAGAGAAATCAACCAATTTTGGGTGTAAAAAATCTGTGTTACATTTTAAACACCATTTCAATAATTTTCTCCATCAGATAGTACGCTGAGACTTCCTAGGAAACTAATGAAGCTTCAGAAGCAGCCCAGAAAGCAAGGAGTCTCGATGAGATGCCCCTAATTTACATATGACTCATGTTTAACACACTGTCAACACAAGCAAAGATCAACTGGGTGTGGGTGGTGGACACTTGGCAATCTCAGCCATGTGGAAGCTGAGGCCAGATGGTGAGTTTGTCAAGGATGCTGCGGGTGACACAGTGAACCCTACTTAAAACCTTAACTAAATAAAATAAAGGCATATTATTTCATAAAAGATTACATATACCCCCACTTAGCCTATGGAAAGTCCTCACAGAGACAACTGCCACTAGGCAAGGATTAACTGCTATATGACTAGTAAGAGTGGACTGAAGTGAGATCCAGTGAGTCTGCTGTCTGAATTTTAATTTTGTTTTGTGTTTTAAGTCTTACTACAATCATTACCATCACTCATTTACATAACCAACTTTGAGGCCTCTGTGTTCATGTTCACATCACTTCTTGCCACATGTTTGCACAACATTCAGAAGTGGTTTCATGAGCCGACACCCGAGTCTGCCTGTCAGACACTATGTGGCTAGCACATGTGTTCATCCTCTCCAGTCCTGTGCTCTCGTGGCTAATGTCCACCCAAACGCACATCTACATGAAAACAGCTCAGTCAGGGCTGACTCTCCAAAGACACAACTGGAACTGGCGCTCTTGTTCCCCCGTGTGGGTCCTCAGGCTTGACAGCAAGAACTGTTACCTGCTGAGGCATCTCACTGTTCTTTATATTCATTTTGAAATTTTATGTTTGTACAATTACTTGGCTAACTTTTAAAATAATGTTTTCCCTATCCTACATAGAACTCTAAGTCCTATATGTCCATGTTTCCCCAAAAAGAGTACTGCCCCAACATATAGTAAGCATTCAATGTATATTTCTAAGTGGTGAATGAAGAAATACTAGGATTCAGCTATCTCTTTTTTTTTTTTTTTTTTTTTTTTTTTTCCTTATTCACACATTCTTTCCTCTTACTGGAAAACTAGTTGCAGGTGCTAAAGAGATGGCTCAGTGGCTAAAAACACTTGTCTGTCCTTAAAGAGAACCTGAGTTCTGTTCCCTGAACTCACAGCAGCTCCATCCGGAACTCCAATTCCAGGGGATCTATCTTAGTTAGGGTTTCTACTGCTGTGATGAAATACTATAACCAAAAGCAACTTGGGGTGTGGTGGCACACACCTTTAATGCGGCACTTGAGAGGCAGAAACAGACAGACTTAGACCAGCCTGGTCTTCATATCAACTTGTGAGACAGCCAGGGTTACATAATAGAGGGACCCAGTCTGAAAAGAAAAAGAAAGGTTCTTTTGGGCAAAGTGCCTCATACCTGTAATTCCAACATTTGGAAAGAGTTCCAGGCTAGCCTGGACTACAGAATGAGATTTGAGCTGGGCTTTGGTGGTGCATGCCTTTAATCCCAGCACTAGAAAGGCAGAGGCTGGTGGATCTCTGTGATGAGGCCAGCCTGGTCTACAGAGCTGGTTCCAGGACAGGCTCCAAAGCTACATAGAGAAACCCTGTCTCAAAAATACCAAAAAAGAAAGAAAGAAAGAAAGAAAAAAAAAAAAAAAAAAAAAAAGACAAAAGAAAAAAACAAAGCCCTGAGCACAGATAGATTACTATGAGTGGATCGGTCCTGAAGAAACAGAAAACCTGAAAAGACTAATAACAAGCAAGGAGACTAAATCAGTTTTCCCATCAGTACTGAATTGTTCCTTTTTTCTCCCAAAGACAAGGCCAAGGCAAATAGCTTCCCTGCTGAATTCCACTAAAACATTTACAGCACACACCAATTTTGCTTACATTACTAAAAATAAATAAATAAATAAAAGAATTTTTCCAAAGGTATTCAATGTGGCCATTATTATTCCACCACCAAAAGCAAACAAGAATACAACCAAAAAAAGAACTACAGGCAAGTATCTTTGAAAAACAAATATGCAAAATTCCTCAACAAACTACTAGCCGACTGAGCAAGGGGTATAGGTTATTAAGTGCTTGCCTAGCAAGTGTGAAGCTCTAAGTTAGGCCCCCCAATACCATGAAACAATAACTACAACATACAGCACTCAGGAAGAGAGGACTGCCAAGTGTTGAAGGCTAATCTAGGCTACACAGAGAGCTCTAGGACAGCCTGGATTACAAGGTAAAACAGAAACAGCAACAGCAACAAAGGAATCAATAAATGTAACACAACCAACCATGTGATCATTTCAACAGACCCAAAAAATTTTTGAGACTTAGCAACCCTTTGAGATAGAGCTTTCAAGGACAAAAGGAACATACTTAAACATATGAGGCCACATCCTAATGTCCAACAGCCAGTTGTGGGTGAAAAACTGAGAGCCTTCTCTCTAAAAACCTCAAACAAGAAAAAAATAAAAGAGCTCACTTTCACTATTTTTACTCAGTAAAGAGCTAGAAGCACTATAGAGAACCAAGGAAGAGAAAGAAACACGATTCACACCAGAAAAGAGGAAGTCAAATTTTCACTGTCAGATGACACACTCTTAAACACAGAAAACCCCAATGGCTCTGCCAGAACACCTGAAAACCTAACTAATAGTAAGTGACAAATTCAACAGTTTCAGGACATGCCATTAACAGATAAACCCACCAGTACTTCTAGAGGCCAACAGCAGCAAACTGCCTGAGTCTGAAGTCAGGAAAGTCATGACATTTACAATAGTCACCAAAACAAACCCCACAGCATTGGTGCATATATTTAATCAGAAAAGTGAGACATTCTACAGTAAAAACTATAAAGCATCCTGTTAAATGAAGCTGAAGACAGTTCAGTGTAAGCACAGGCTCAGAATGTATGATTCCTTTGGTTCAATTCCCAAAACAATTATTTAACACTACATTAAATTTATGTTATGTACCAGGAAGTGGGGGCGCACACCTTTAATCCCAGCACTTGGGAGGCACAGGCAAACAGATCGCTGTGAGTTTGAGGTCAGCATGGGCTACAGAGTTCCAGGACAGGACTGTTACACAGAGAAACTCTGTCTTGAAAAACCAAAACAAACAAATGTTGTGTGTATGTACATGGGGTGTACACACACACACACACACACACACACACACACACACACACACACACACTTTTTTTTAAAGATATGATCTCAAGCTGGTGTCAAACTGAGGCTTGAGTTGACCTCTAACTTCTGGGCTACCACCCTCCACCCCCACAAGTACTGAGATAACAGCTGTATATGACCACACCCACTTCTATTCACTTCTGGAGACTGAACTCAGGACTTCATGTATGCTGGCAAACACTGCATCAGCCGAGATATATCCCAAATCCTGAAAGAAACAACACCTGCCAGATGTCCAGCCATCTTGCTAAATTTAAACCTTAATAGCTGAGCTGTGGTCTTTATCTGTGCATATGAATGTAAGTGAGTGAACTGTGGGAAGCTTTCATAGCCATCTTAATCCCTTATTTCCTTTTCTGGCTGGACATTAATTCAGATCTGCAGAACCGAACAAGTATCAAAAGTAGGTGTTATTACTCAACACTACTGACACTCGAGTATCCTATTTTTGTATTTTCAAATTTCTTTTTACCACAGTAAAAGTTGGATATTAGGGATTCTATGCATTCACTGGAATTTTGGTAATTACTCTCTTCTTCCAATTAGTTTTGCATATTAAAGCCCTGGATTCAAGAAACACACAACTCTAAAAAGAAATACTATGATTTCAGAACAAAAGATACACTGAGGTCAGAAAACAGACAACAAAATTGGTAAAACTTGTCTACAAAGTGAGTTGTAGGACAGCCAGGACTGTTTACACAGAGAACCCTGTCTTGAAATATCAAAAAAAAATTAGTAAAACTTAAAAAGCAGTGGTTCCCAACCTTCCTAATGCTTCAACCCTTTAACACAGCTCCTCATATTGTGATGACCATCCCCCCCAAAAGTATTTCACTACTATTTCATAACTGGATCATAATGGAAATATCTGATATGCAAGATATCTGTTGTGAGACCCTTGTGAGGGGGTTCGAGGCCCACAGGTTGAGACCCAGTGACTTAAAGCAAGGAGAAATGAATAAAACACAACATTTCATTAATTCGATGTTTGTGTGTCTAAGAAATGTCTATGAAATTTCATGATTACTTCGACTATACAACAGAAACCTGCCATGCAGTGAGAAACAGGTGCAGCTTTCAGGGGGGTTGGGAAAGCACTGGCGTCTTTGTGCTGTCCAGTGAGAGACAGAGAAGAGTGGGGGAGCTGTCTGAAATGTTAGCAAGGTCGTCCCTGTGCCAGACTTGATGGTAGATGCTCAAGGAGAGAGGATGTAGGAAGTAGTAGGGAGGAGTTTCAAGATGTAGGACCAACAAGGTGGAATTCCAGGCCCTCTCTCCAGTAAGATAAGATCACGTGGAAATACTTGGATTGATAGAAATGGGTTAATATTTAAGACAGAGCTAGCCAATAAGATATGCTAGTAACAGGCCAACAACTTTATATCTAATACAGCGTCTCTATGGGTTATTTGGGGCTGGCGCAGCGATGGGACCAGACCGGCAGGAAAACCTGCTCATAACACATGTATACTACCATACCCAGCTAAAATTCTTTTTTAGTTTTTTTCTTAATTGATTTCCCCAGGAATATTCCTGAAATAGATTCTTGCCACACTCTGGTTTTCATGCTAACTCTTACTCATTTTCTCCCATGGAGTCTTGTCCTTGGGTCAGTCCTGATTTCCCCACTCTCTATACAGCCTAATGTTCCAGAAGAGGCCTGTGGCTTTAGTTAATGCCTCTGTTAAACTTCCCAATTGTATCTGCCTCTAGGTAACTAGTGAGGACATCAACAACAAACATAATTAAGAACTAAATACCCCTTCACTCAAATCAACAATTTCTACCACGACTCTCTAATACAAAAGAGCCATATGGAGTGTTTTCTATCAGCCCAATGTATGTTAGTCACTTGCCCAAGGTGTGAGCTACATGTTGATCAACTCCACACAGTCTAAAACGGATGTGGCCAATTACCTCTTGTCTACCTAAAAAAAGGGGGTGAGGATGCTGGAAAATGGTGCATCAGCCAAGGGCATGGAATGCTCTTCCAGATGGACCAGATTTGGTTCTCAGAGCCCACATGGCAGCTCACAACTGCCTGAAACTGCAGTTCCAGAGGATCCAATACCTTTTTCTGAGGGAACTAGGCATACTCATGGTGCACAGATATATATATATATATATATATATATATATATATATATGCAGGCAAAATCCTCATACATATAAAAATGTTTATATTAATAAAAGCCCAAAGACTGGACATTTTGGGTACATACTTGTAATATAAACACTTAGGAGACCGAGGCAGCAGGATTTTGGCTACATGATGAGAACTTGTCACAAAAAAGGAAGAGGGAGGGAGGAAAGGAAAGAAGGGAGGGAGGGAAGGCAGGAGAGAGGGAAGGCAGGAAGGAATGAAGGCAGGAAGAAGACAGGAAGGCAGGCAGGCAGGAAGGAAGGAAGGAAGGAAGGAAGGAAGGAAGGAAGGAAGGAAGGAAGGAAGGCAAAAGAATCTCATTCTGACAAGTGACAACTGGCCTGGGCTGGTAGCAGCAGCAGATATGGACTATTCTGCTGGAAGCCAGTTAGCTACTTATTTAGCTACTTTTCAGTATCTAACTTAGTGATTCTTTATTCTCACCCACAGTGTGGAATGAAAATATTAAAACTAAAATGTAACCTGCCTACAGATTCTGATTTAAATGGGGGATGGCAGGACTTCAGACATTTGTTTTGTTTTGTTTTAAAGAGGCCCAGGTGCTTCTCAAGTACATACAGATAGCCAAACTGACTCTGGCTGATTTCTCTCAGGGTCTACATTATCTTCTCCCAAACTGTCTTTTACAACTCAGCAGGTCTCCTTTATAAATACGCAAATCTTTTATTATTCAGAATACTGGCTCTCAGTCTAAGTGCCCTTTTGAATCTCTCAGGGACAGATTCAAAATCTTGACTTCAAACTCCAGAGAGATTGACTCAGACAGTGTGGAATGAGAATTAGGCACTGGTAATTAAGACTCCCCATGTGATTCCAGCATGCAGACAAGGGTGAGAACCACTGATGCATGTGCACTGTGAACAAGTTAGTTTTTGAGAACAGTAATTCTTCCATGCAAGCACAGCACCTCAGGGTCTCACACTACAATACCATGTAGCTCCTGGAATGCACCACACAGGTACAAACTCAGGAGCACCTCTTCTCAGTCACAGCTCAGTTCCACCTATCTTTCAGTTTAAGAATCTCAAAGAATAACCTTCAAAGACAGGTGTAGTGGCACAGGCCAGTAATCCCAGCACTCAGAAGGCTGAGGCAAAAGGATTGCCTTGCGTTCGAGGCCAGCCTGTGCTACACAGAAAGACTCTAAAGTCAAAACAAGAATAGCCTTCTCTGTATAAATCTCAGTCATGAACACACACACACACACACACACACACACACACACACACACACACACACGGGCACACACATCAGTCTACCCTGTGTAGCTTTAGAGCCTGTCCTGCCTCTGCCTTCTGCAAGGCTTTGTAGACAACTTTTAATGTTTCCATCTAATGGTCTTACTGAATTCCTTGAAATTAAAGCCCTTATTTATGTTTTAGCCCAGTGCTTATCATTATGCATGAAACCATAGGCTGACTCCATTTTATTACAGAAAATTTTGTTGCACTATATTAATTTATATGGGGATGCCTACTATAATTAGCTGTATGAGGTCATATTTACATATTGTATAGACCAAACATTCAATGTTATTTAATTTATGAATAGCTGCAAATCAAGGAAGAAGTCAGGGACAAAAGAAAATGTATTTCCAGAATTGTAAGGTGGCAACTCACAGGAAAAAAAAAATATTTTCCACCCAAGTGACTTTTAAAATATACCTGCCTTGTCTGTCTCTTCACATTGGTATGACACCAGTATGTCTTAGGAGGGTAGGCTAGATACTTGCCACCTCAGGAGGAAAACAAATCATGTAAAGCTCTCAAACACTAAAATGCAGTTACACTCCAAATGTTTGATAATATGCTAGCAACACCAATGTCCTTTTCTAGGACTGAATGTTACCCTGCAAAAACTCACTCTCCATAAAGCAGAGGTTACTTTAGCATCTTATAACTACAAATTCCCTACATGTGTTTATTACTACCCAAGAGAAATTTTGCTAAATACTAGCTGAATAGTTCCATATCATATACTTCATTAAAAAAGACTTGTATCTGTGTGGTCATAAAAATCACCAGTGGTTACTCTGTTATCACTGTTTATTGTGTTATTCTGCTTAAAGTAAAATCTTTACTAGCAAAAACTTCTTGCTTGTGATTGAGAGTACAGCAAAGAGAGAGGTGAGAGAGCAGAGGGAGAATGAGTCCTTGATCAGCACACCTATAATCCCACCTGGGAGGCAGAAGCAGGAGGGTTTTGAGTCCTAGGCCAGCCACCCAAGCTGCAAAGTAGACCCAGTCTTAAACAAACAACAAGCAAAACAAAAAACAACAACAAAAAAAAAACAAAGAAGGAAAACAGTTTGATTACTAAATTAATTCTGTATTCACTGAGTGCCTATTATCTGCTTGGGAAATTATGAAAACTAAAAAAGTATTTGAAGTTACTTGTAAGACAATAAAGGCAAGCAACCACAATATTTGGCATTTGTGGCTGATTTTCTTTTCTTTTTTTTTTTTTTACCTTATTTGGTGACTTCAAAGGTGAGATGGCTATCTTATTTGGTGTCTGTGTTGTAGAATTTAAAGTTGATCCAATAACACCACTTTCTGATATTGTCATGGTCTTTGATGGAGTTCCAGGAGTAGACTGGGAAAGAACCCTACCTGCAAACAAGAGGCAGGTTAAGAAAGTAGTAACTGGCCAACAGTATAATATCTAATACAGAGTCTCTGTGTATTATTTGGGGCTGGCGCGGTGGCGGGACAAGACCAGGCGTCAGGCGGAAAAACCAAACTCCTTACAAATGGCGCCCATATAGATATGGATACTTTGTATTGGAATGGATTTTCATTTACTGATACAATTTAAGGTCAATGTTGTGATATGTATATTTCTCTTCTTGTTTAGGTATTGTGTTTATATAGCTCATTTAGAAATGTAATGTATAATGTAGTACAGATTATAGATAATTACCTATGATAGTCAAAGCTTAGAGTTAAGTTAGTTAGGTTTTCAAGATAAACAGAGATGTATTTGAGATAGATAGGCATTCTTCAAACCTTTCAAAGACCTACAGAATATGGCATTTAAAATGGTTTAGGGTTTTCGTGACAGTGAGACATAATTGCTCTTGGCAATACCACCTGCAACAGAAAGAAAGATGGACATTGAAGAAACTCTTTATGGAGTTTACTTTCAATATGGCAAGATTAGCCATATGGACAAGATACTGCTCTTGTCTGGACTGTTTGACTATGTGCTATATAAACTGGACATGCAGGACCCATAGAAAAGTGATTGCTGATTCAAGATGGACATTGCTATAGAGTTCCTGCTTCATGGAAGAGTCTGCCAGACAGTCTGCAGGACACAGAGAAAAGTGACTGACAAACTGCCAATACAAAAAGACAGTTTAAAGTTTCCTGCTTTGCTGAAGAGTCTGCCAGACACACTATGGCCTATGGGCTGAAGATGGAAGATTACAAAAGAACTTCAGGTGACAAAGGCAAGATGTCTCTGTCATTTGTAGAGTTTATATATTATCCTTCTGTAGTCTTTGAAGGAGTTGAAGACAGATAGTTATGGTTACAGTTTTCCTTAGTATTAAAGATAAGTTACATAGACTTTAGACACACAAAGATAGGATAGATGATGAAATATTTTCTTCAAATCTTGCTAAATGTTAATGGACTAAATAGTGTTAACTGTGATTCTTATTTGATAACTGTTATGTGATATATTTTGCTATGTTAAGGTTAAAACCCTTGTTTTTATTTAGACAGAAAAGAGGAGATGATGGGAGATGTCATTCTGTATATGTTTCTCATACTGGTTAATAATAAAGCACTGTTGGCCAATAGGAAAGGAAGATAGGAGGGACTAGGAGACAAGGAGGAAATAGGAAGTAGTGAGGAGGAGTCAAGATGGAGAGTCTGGAGAAAGCTGTATGCCGCCGGCTCCCCGGTAAGAGAAATACATAGATCAACAAAAATGGGTTAATACTTAAGACAGAGCTAGCCGATAAGAAAGTAGTAACTGGCCAACAGTATAATATCTAATACAGAGTCTCTGTGTATTATTTGGGGCTGGCGCGGCGGCGGGACAAGACCAGGCGTCAGGTGGAAAAACCAAACTCCTTACAGCAGGTGACTGTTTTTAGTAACACTTTTAAAAGCTTACATGATAATGGCCTATATATACACAGATATAGAGACATTAGTAAGACCCTAATGAACTATAGTGGGCCTAAGGATTACCTAAAAATATGCTCCCAAACATAGTTAAGCTATGTCCATCAAAAAGCGAGTTTGGGACACCCCAGGACTTTTGCCCCAAGTCTGCTTCAGCCTCTGCACTTTACCTGTCCTGTGGCTGTCTTCCTATTTGTACTTTACCTGTCCTGTCTTCCTATTTGAACTTAAACCATGCAGGGCAGAATGAAAACCCACAGTTCTGTTGGGACACAGCTTGGTTGGCAGAGTACTTGCCCAGCATGCAGGGAACCATGGATCTCTCCCTAGAATGTCATAAGATGGGACAGCGCTGGGAAGGTAGAGACCTGAGACTCCAAGGTCATTCTCAGCTACATAGCAATAAGCTAGCCAGGAATAATACATCAGGCTTCAACTCAAAAAACAGAAATCAAAGCTCATACACTTATAAAAAACAGCTACTGGAGCCAGAGAGATGGCCCAGTAGTTAAGAGCACTTGCTACTCTTCCAGAGAACCAGAGTCAGAGCCCAATACCCACATCAGGTGGCTCACAACTCCATGTAACCAGTTCTAAGGGCCTCTTGTGGCCTCTGAAAGTATCAACACAAATATGACAATACACATACACATGAGTAAAAATAAAAGCTGTAACTGAATGGACATACCTGAACACTGATTTTAGAGCACCAAAAGGGAAGGAAAGACTTCACCTAGCTGCCCTGGCCAGAGCCCACACTTCACTCTGCCTTGGACAATAAATAATGCCTTTGAAACAACCCTGGAGAAATGCAGGGCACCTGCACAACTTAGGGAACTGGAAACCATATTTCAATAGGTAAAATATTCAGGAAGTTTTATCCTGGGTGAGGAAAAAAAAATACAAAGCCATTCTAGACCATTAATTCCAAAGGCCTGGTCCTCTTTCCTTCACCTACCATTACCTACAGTCAGCTCCAGCCCCACATCTAAATTCTTGAAGGCGTATATAGAACTGTCATTATTGCTGTTCACCAAGAATTCTGATTTTCCCTGTTTGGGGCACAGGGTAGCACTGTATTTGTACCTCTGATCTGATGTCCTTCCCAGTCTCGATGTTAATTAGGGTCATGTGAGTTATGAATTAGGACAACTGAGTTATGAATAAACTCAGAATGTCATTTCTGGGCCAGAATGGCCTGACAAAAGCCCTTCTAGAGCCCTTTCCTCTGCTGTGTCTGAGGTGGTAGCAACCACAAGAAGAATCTTCTGTAGTGCAAATGGACATTCACATAATTCTGAAGTATAAATAGTAAACAAAAAACTCTTCTTTGCAATAACTTGGAGATTATTTTGACAGGAAAACCAAGATTATTCTGATTGACCTTGGCTGCCAGGTTGAAGAATCAAAACCAACTGGCCACATCAAATATACAAAAGTAGGAAAGAAAGAGAAAAACATCAAGCCCAGCTCTATGAAAGACCTTCTGACAAAAGTTTCCCAGAAAGAGCAAAGGCCTAAGTATTTAAGAAGTGGAGACAGTAACACGGTTGCTAGGGTCAAACCTCAGAAAGAAGCCACAGAGGGATAGTTCCTTTACCCAAAGGGTAACCACTAGCACAGAGCAGTGACCCGCCTCCTTTAGTAACAATGCCAAAGTAGAAAGAGTTTTAAAGGGGAATCAACTTTTATCTTAATTCATTAACTTAAAAACATTTCAGGACCTTTGAAATGGCTCAATGACAAGACACTGAGTTTGACTCCTGGGACCCACATGGGGAGAAGAAAACCAATTCCCACAAGTTGTCCTCTGACCCCCACATATCCACCCCATCAATCAATCAGTCAATCAACCAATGTGATTTAAAAAATTTAAAAACTAAAGTTTAAGTTTTAAATGTTTTTTATGTGTATGTGCTTTGCAAAGCAAATGCCTGAGGAACAAGCATAAAGTTCCAATAACCATCATTATGAAGTTATTGTAAGCAACAGTTTCATAAAAATGCTCACTGCTTTAGGTATTTATATTTTATATTAATGGGTATTATCTTCCAGGAAACATTCATTGTTTAAAGGACTTTATTTTTATTAATTTTTTTAACAATTGTATGCATTGTTGCATTTGTGTAGTTTTGGGATTTCTCTATTTAGCACTGGCTGCCCTGGAACTCACTCTGTAGACTAGGCTGGCCTCAACCTCAGATCTGCCTGTCTCTGCCTCCTGAGTGCTGAGATTAAAGGTGTGTGCCACCACCACCCAGCTTTTGTTTAACTTGTTAACCATAGCTTTAAAGTTGAGTATAAAAATAAACCCTCCTTTGTGATACAGAACTCACTGTTCAGCTTGAGTTTTAATATGCATGATGAAGAATGTAGTAAAAATCTTTTTAAAACTTAAAAAAATTGAAACTAGCATAGTCAATAATAAAACACAATTTCTTTAAGTATTTTAAAATATTGGCATTAAAGTGATTTCAGTTAAATTGAAATTGACAGTAGTATTTTATGATATTTACAAAGTACCATTAAGGTCACTGGTTTTTTTATGAGTATTAAAACCGTTAAGGTGGATTTTATAAACATTTGCATTTATGTTATAGATTAAAGCTGAAATAGTTACAAGTAAAAAAATTTACTATCTCAAATTGCTTTAAAACAATACATGGATAGAAATAAGACTGGTCAAGATCTAATGATTGCTTAAACTGATTGAAGAGTGTAATCAAATTTCACCAAGCTAATTTCTCTAAAAAAAAAAAACAAACAAACAAACAAAAACCTATATGCATGTGTGTGTGCAGGCAGATTTGCTGCCTGATACTAGGCATTTCCAGCCTTGTGTTTGTCTAAGTATGTGTCTATGCATGTGAGTGAATGAATGCCCCTAGAGGCCAGAAGAGCTAGAGTACAGCCAAGTGTGGGCATTACATGTGAATGCTAGAAGCCAGACTGGAACAGAGTGTCCAGAGCCACCGCTCCAGCCCCTCAGAAAACACTCTTACAGAAAAGTCCTATGCTTGAAGATACATAATACTTGAGGAGAGAAAGCTCACTTAAAGTGAACTCATTTCAAAGAGGGCAAAAATTATGCTGTAAGGGGCTGGCAAGATGGCTCAGTGGGTAAAGGCACTTCCCACACAAACCTGAAGATCTGAATTTAATCCTCATTTTATTTTGGGAAGAACCAGAAAATTACATCCTGAAAGTTGTTCTTGATTTCCATATACTCACACTACAGACACAATAATAATTTAAGATTTAAAGCAAATTGTAGAAAAGGAAGAAAATCAAAAGCAAAAGTTTATTTTTTTTTCCCTCTGAAGTCCACTGTGCCATTCACAGATCCCTTAAGACATCTACTCCAGTATTCTGCTGGGCCTGCTGGGGGCCAGGGTCCCCTGAGAAATACAGCTGTTGAGAGTAATGTTGGACCTCTTCACACCAACTGGATGTTGTCCCCTAGTACTCAGGAAGTAAGAGCGGAGTTCTGACAGCATCGGGGCACAGTGAGGTACCCAGGAGGCAGCTCGGGCAGATGTGCCAGCTAAGGTGCTGAAGCTCCCTGAACTCAGACTTCCTCAGCAGCAGTAACATCGTCTCAGGGTAGGAATCAAGAACAAGCAGCCACTCAGTGATTCTGCTCACAGACTTCACCCTCTGGGGTAGAGGCATGGGTTACTAGAGAGCAAACCTGGGGTCTAACACTTGAGACAAATGTTCTACAACCAAGTAGCATCCCAACCTACAAACACTGTATTAATTGGCTACTACTTACAATATTAATGTAAGATATGAGTGTGAGGATCTCACATGCTTGAGAAAGGGGTGAATCCACTTCTGCCTCTGTGGAAAGTGACTCCATTTTCTGGATAAGTCCCTGAGAGCCCTATCTGGATTTTGGATACCCCAACTAAGTTTCCATCTGTAATTCCTTCACTTTTGGTCTTGGGTTTATTATGACTATTGAGATGGCTCAGTGAGTGAGGCACCTGCCACTGAGCCTGGGGGAGCACTTGAATACAGACCCTGACCCCCACATGGTAGAAGAGAAGGGACTGCCTCAAGTTGCCCTGTGATCTCCACACATACTCTAAGGCACACAAGGGCTTGAACTCAGCTTGCATGCTCAAATAAAGTGTATGATTTTATTTTTATAATAAGACTTATTATTGTATTATGCACATGCACAATGTGAGTGTGAAGATCTGTGTTCTCATATCTCTCTGAGGGAGAAGTACACTTCCCTCCCAACAAGCCTTCCAGGAGCTTGGTCTCAAAGGCAAGTCAAGGTAAAAGTCAGTACATGTGCTACAGTGTGGGTCCTAGTGTACCTTGCCCTTGTGTGGGGCAAGATGAGATAGGAGGGAATCCATCCCTCCTACTCTTGTGCAATTCCTGAACAGACATTAAATGCATAATAACTCATACAAAGACCCTGAGCTACAAAGGGAACTTCAGCTTTCCAGTTTGGGGTTTGAGTTCAAGACAGGATCTTGGATAGAGGCTGGCTTAGACCATCACACAGTATAGCTCAAGGATGACCTTCTCCACCAGGTGCAAAAATGCAGGTTTGCCTAGCTATTCCCCAGGTGCTCATACTGGCTCCCATAGGCCATGAACATCAAACTTACACCCAAGAATGACTCTGGTCCTTGAGTCTCAAGCAGAGATCACAGGCTGCTTAAATCCTGGTGCCTAGGTGGCAGTTTTGAATTGCCACATAACTGGCCAATAAAGCCTTGATATTCTCTTGGGGGAGAAGGGGTAAGTTCCACCCTCTTAGGATAAACAAGACAAATGAGCTGCTAACGCTGTGGTTAGGGAGAGGTCCCTCTGAAACCCTGTATGATACAGCACAAGAACAAATTCAGTTTACACATAACTTTGTCCAAATATTTGAGTATTTCATGATATATTTTAAAATTCAAGTTACTCTTTTTGAGAAATCCATAGATTCTCCTCCAGTTTGCATTTATGATTTTCCTCTTCTTTAAAAAAATGTATTCATTTAGTGGTGAGAGTCGGAAGACACCCTGAGTGTGTTGGCTCTCTCCTTCCCCATGTGGGTCTCAGGGATCCATCCCAGGTGGACAGACTTGGTGACAGGAGCCTTAGCCCACTGGGCATCATGCCCACTGCTTCCATTTTCTTTTCCTTTGAGACAGGATTATGCGTTGTGTTCTGGCTGGCCTAGAATCCACAGCAACCATCCTGTGGTGTCTCCAAATGTTGTCATTAGAGACATGAGCCATCACATTAAGGGCATTTATAATTTTCTAACCTAACCCTTAATCCTATTCATCTTAAACTGCAAATCAAGAAAATATGTACACAATGTAATTTTGCCTTGAAATTAAATTATAAGACTTTTTGTATGTTTTGTATGTTGTTTGTTTGGTTTTTTTGAGACATGGTCTATCTGTAACCCAGGTTGCCCTGGAACCCACTGGTCTCAAACCCACAGTAATCCTATCTCAGCATTCCAAATGAGAACATAAGCATATGGCACCATGCCCAGCTAAGGCCAAATTCTAAGAGAGATCAACTCATTAGTGAATATTTTCACACAACAACAAAGTTTGGGATCATGAAGTAACCCTGCATCTTAGAAGCTCTCATAATATGAATCTCTAATCTCATTTAACCATCTCAATAGTCATGTGAGGTGATGGTATTCATATTTTAAAGAAGACAAACAAAATTAGGTATGGTATCATACACCTGTAATCCCAGCACATGGAAGACAGGAGTCACAAGAATCATGAGTTCAAGGGTAGCCTCAGCTACACAACAAGCTTTGAGCCCCAGCTGGGTAAAAGCTTATGTGTGAACAACCCTCTCCCACAAGATGAACAAATGATGCATTTACCCACGATCATGGAGAAAATCAATTCGAGAGCCATGAATAAAAGCCCAATCTTCCAACAGCTTTTACATTAAATTATTATACTGTCTTTAAGATAAACATACTCGTTCAATAACACCCACTAGCCTAAATAGCTTCAGAGCCAAAATGACAAACATAAAAGAATTCCATCAATCTTGTACATACACACAACAGAACTATTATGCCTTTTAAAAGGAAATAACTTAAACATGCTGGAATATGGGTGGACTTGAAGGTTACGGGAGGTGAAAGCAGCCAGTGACAAAAGATCAGTGTTGTATGACTTTACCTGGATAGACAGATAGGATACTCAGAATCCCTTGAGGCAGGACAGTGCATGCCAGAGATGGAGACAGGGAAGAATGAAGAATAGCAGCAGTTTAATGAGTTTAAAGTTTTGAAAGTTGAAAAGTTCTGGAGATTAAAAAAAAAAGGGGGGGTGACAGCACAATGATGTGAAGATATTGAATGGCACTGAGCTAGTCACTCCTGTGGGTTATGTTTAGTATTTACTTATCAAGCATATGCACACAAGCCTGTATGTATGTGCTACGGAGCATCTGGAAGCCAGTAAACAGCTTTTAGAATTGATTCTCTCCTTCAGTGATGCTGATCTCAGGTTGCTGGGCTTGGCAGCAAGTGCCTTTACCTGCTAAGCCATCTCACTGGGCCCTTAATGGGAAATGTTTTTTTTTTTTTTTAAGTAAAGTAATTCTTAAAAGAACTAAATGGTAAAGAAACAAAGAATCACTATCTCCAAGCAGTGGTGGCATTTGCCTTTAATCCCAGCACTTGGGAGGTAAGCTGGAGGTCAGCTTGGTCTAGTGAGGTCCAGGTCAGCCAGGGCTACATAGTGAGACCCTTCAAAACAAACTACAGCAGAAAGGTAAATACATGATAGAAATAACCAGACTTGATAAGAACACACATGAAGACAGTGCCATGAAGGTGCCTCATTAGACCCCAGGAGACGTCCAGGAGTAGAGGCCAAGAGAAGAGATGAGAGGCAAGAGGAATACTGCTAAGACCCTTAGTGCCGAGAAAGCACGATCTAGTTGCTATCTCTTATAAGTTAACAGGTTTGGGTTAATAGGAGATCCTAACAGCTATAACAACACTGGCATTTGAACAGGTCAAGACCAAGAAATGAATAAAGCAAAGAATATTTTAAGCATGGATGTGGCAAGATCAAATATGTATTTTAGAGAAACCAGCTATACATAGGTAAATCCATCTTCAATGAGAACCCCCACCTACCATTTAAAAACAATCTTAGCATATTTTGAACAGCATTAGCTACAATATAAAAATTATATGACCTACTACTTGAATACAGGACATCTACTTTGGCAGATTAAAATGTGACATATATAAAAATGTAAAGACTATACAGAAACTAGTCAAAAGAAAGAATTAAGATGGGCATGGTATGGATATCCTTAACCCCAGCCCTAGAGAGGAAGATTACTATGAATTGAAAAGCCAGCCAGGGCTATAGAGCAAGATCAAAAGATGAAATTATCTTTGCAAACTAAATTTAGCACCAATAATTCTAGTGAAACAACAGATATCTATCTCTATGCATTCTGTCTGCAATTAATAAGGCAAACCTGTGATTAACTTGAAACATACTATAAATGACCCAAAGACTGAACAATGGCATCCATGGAGGTATTCATGTTAACCAGGGAGAGCTATATTGTTTGGGATCTTTTATATTACTGTGAATTGATACCAAGGTTTTCGGCATAGTCAACCTTTCTACTAACAGACCTACATTCCTAACAGAACACTTGAAGTTTAACTACTCAAAATGACACAGTTACTGGTGATGACACATTTTGAAGAATATAATAAAAAGAAATGGCCACATTAAGGTGAGTAGTGGTAAATGCAACACAGCTTAAGTTCTGCTATTATTTAAGTAACTATTACTTGATAACATGACAATTTTCAGTTACTAAAGAATTGTATGTGGGAAGTGGCTCAGCTAGAACTGGGTTATAATTTCCCATCTTGTGTTTTTATAGATTTTGGATTTTGTGTCTATGTATCTCTTGGTGTGTTTTCATGTACTTTGTTATTTTGTTTTGTTTTTTTATTCTGTTTATTTGCTTTTTTTTGTTAACCTACTTATTTTCTAAAGAGTCAGAAAGAAAATGGGGATGATCTGGGGGAGTGGGGATGACCTGGGGGATTGGGGATGATCTGGGGGGAGTGGGGATGACCTGGGGGAGTGGGGATGACCTGGGGGGGGGAGTTCTGGGGAAGTGAGGATGCAGGAGGAGTTGAGGGAGGGGAACCATACTCAGAATATATCATATAAAAATTTATTTTTTAATAAAAGTGCAAAAAATACTAACATAACTAACATAAGCTATGACTGGTGCACTGAAGACATTTTAAGGCAGCAGGGCAGCCTTTTCTAAATCTTAAAAAAAAAGACATACATATAGCTTGATAGACTATAAAGGAATATAACCTGTGATGACTGGTGGTGACACTTGAGTTGTCTGTCCGGTGACTGCTTTACTATTAATTGGTTTTGCAAAAATGAGCTTCGTGATCACTGGACCAGAGGTTGGTGTTCGAGGCTTCTTAGCAATCTGAAACATATAAATAACTATGAAGACATCTGTTTCCATAAAAATCTATGCAACAAAAGTTTGACAAGATTCATACAGCTGTAGTACATATAAAGCCAGGTCATTTAACAAATCTATGTATTAATATGTAAGACATTTAAAATAAATCTATTCACCAAAATATTATTATGATCCTATCTATAAATACATGTATCCTAATGCCTCTAATTTCATGACAAATCCCTAGTCTCTCTGAAATATGCAGATGATGAGAAACAATAGTAAAGTTTAATAATAGTAATCATAATAACTAACAGTAAAACACTATGCATAATGTTAGTTTTCCAAATAAGCTATTCTGCAACAAAAAGACAGAGTTCAAAACATACAATACAATGAAGCATTGCTGAACACATACACATGACCACATTTGCCTATGATCCAAGATGTAAAATATTACATATTACAACTACATTTCTTTCTTTCTCTTTTTCACTTGTTTTGTTTTTGAGATGGGCTGACCTGGAGCTCCCTATGCTGCCCAGGTTGACCTTGAACTCATGGCAATCTCCCTGCCTCACCCTCCCAAGTACTGAGTTAATAGGCATAAGCCGCCACATCCAGCAGACTTTCAAGTACACACCACGCACGCACGCACGCACGCACGCACGCACGCACGCCAGAGTACAGGAAGAGCTGAACCAGTTGAGCAACCCAATTAAAAAGAGACCTGTTTACTAGAATAAGGGTTTGTAAAAGGCTCTAAAACATATTTACTGAAATAATATCTATTGTACTTTAAACTCCTTCTAAGGGACTAGCCATACATTATTTAATTCATCTCCAATATAAAGTTAAAATATGAGCACAATGTTGACCTGAACTAAAATTTGCCACAAGTCAAAGAAGACAGAGGCACCAGTGTGGTACAGTTATTTTCTAAGACAAGGTCATTCTTGTGAAGCTAACTAAGGAGACCAGGCTGGCCTCAAACTCCCAAATGCTGAGATTATAGGTGTGAGCCACCATACCCACGATCAAAGTTTTTATGTTGAAATTGTCATAAAATGCAAAGACACAGCTGCTAAAGGAAGGAACAGAACTTACCTGGCATAACATTCAAAGTTCAGTGTGTGAAGAACACTAAATGGTTTATCTTTTGGCAAATGTGTATACTGAGACCCTAAAGTATTATTTATTACTGGAGATGACTCAAATGAATACACGTGACCAATATGAATAATAGCAATACGTCAGAAATGGTATGGATCACAGATAAATATCAGTTCTGTGTGCTCAAATCACAAACAGCATGCTTACACTCACAATGTTTACCTTCTTGTACTCAGATCATATCAGTGACACAAATACCTCGGGGAGAAAAATCATATTTTCAAAAAAGGAAAGTATTTAGTCTATAACAATATCCCCAGCTTGCAACATGACATAGATATCTGAGTAAATAAATTATTTGTACTTTGGAAACCTAATGCCATCAAGAGACATGAAGGAAAGCCCTTCCCACTTGTGCTAAAGCAATGGAGGCCCACATAAATACATAGTATCAGTGACCACAGAATACCCCTTAGAAATGCATAACCTTAGCCATTAAAAGTAAGACTTGAAAGCAATCCCCCCCACCCACACTTTCCTGATTTTTCACAGTTATATGCGATATGCTCCTTTAGTGGAGCACTGCTCAAGATAACAATCTCTAGATCCTTAAGGAACCATACTTAGTTTTGAAACCAGCTCTCACATTGCCTAGGCTGGCCTTGAACTCAGATTATCTTTGCCTCTACCTCCCAGGCATGGGGATCACAGACAAGAGTCAGCACACCTGGCTTTACCCTATGTATATGGAACTCAGGGCTTCATGTATGTTCTTGAAAATGAATCTTTATGCTCTATTTTACTTAAACTTTTGTTCCAGAGTAGTTTAGGAATCAGGGTGAAAAGGGCTTATTCCTGGCCTGGGTTCATTTGCTACAGTGCTTGCCTGGCATGCTCAAAGCTCATCAGTGGTTAAGAGAACTCACTACTTTTGCAGAGGACCTAGGTTCCATTTCCAGCACCCTCATGAAGGCTCACAACTTAACTCCAATTTCAAAAGATCTGATGCCTTTTGGAATTTGCAGGAACTAGGCACACACATAGTATACATACATACATACGTACATGCATGCATGCATACAAGCATGCACACATTCAAGCAATTCATTCACATAAAACATCTTTAAAAACTTTAAAATTTTTTAAAGAATTACTTTCAATAGGTTTATGAAATTAGCAGTTTAAGATAAAATGAAAAATTACTTACAAATAAGATAGAAAAGGAAGTCAATAACTCATGCAAATAACCTTCAGCATCATGACGGACAGAAGCCCTAAGGGGCTATGCTGTCCCACACTGTTAGCTGCTTATTGCTCTCACACACTAGGCACCGCAAATATGGGACAACAGTTAGCTCTCTGGAATTAACTATGACTATACACCTATCAGCAACTGTGCCACAGTTGCTACCTTCCTAACTTCTGAACATGTGTCTCCATCATTCTTGCCTGCTGTCCATATTCAACAACCTCACCACTCTGATTAAAGTTAAAATGATGCTGTGGGCTATCTGGGGGGAAAATCAGATTTGTATGCACATATGCCTCAAAATAGTCTCATTAGTATGGAGTCTAATGCAGACAACTATAAATGTGTACTTACTTATTTTCCCAAGTGTTTGCTTCTGAGTTAGAAAGATTTGAGCTACCTAAAAATCAACTGTATACTAGGTTTCCTTGATTTTCTGTTGTTTACTAATTTACTTATTTATTGATTTTTTTTTTTTTTTTGAGTCAGGGTCTCATTTTATAGTCCTCCTGGCTGTCCTGGAACTCATTATGTAGACCAGGCTGTCCTCAAACTCACAGAGATCCACCTGTCTCTACATGCTGAGTGCAGGGATGAAGACATACTTCACCACACCTGGCTCTGTTACACATTCTTTTAAAAACACACTTAAAACAAATGGAATCAGGTTTTATAAAACCAACAACAATAAAACAAGTGAGTATTAGGTCGGATTCTTTTATTGTCAATACTTAGAAAATTAAAGTAAGAAATTAGTGGACAAAAATCAATCACTTATTCAAACAGTTTTCATACACTGCTGTCATGAATGGAAAGAATGACACTTTGATTTCTATCATTAGTTCTTTGAAACCATGATAATGATCCACACTGCCACAGCCAATCAAAACAGGCTTCAATACTAAGACCAGATGGATACGTCACAGTAGTGGGCTAGGCTCTCTCACTCAAGAGCCCCTCAGCAAAGATGAAGAAGCAAGAAGCATGAACTGTGAACAGGAGCAGGAAGGATACAGCAAGTTATAAGGCCTGAGACAACTTCTTAATGCAAAGCTCCTGACAATAGAGTTCCCAGCAGAGTAACCAAAACTTAAATGTAAATAGCAGCTAGAGTCAATACCTCTCCCAAACTTTCCTATTCCTTACACAACTTCCTTTGCTACTTCCTCTCATGCCTTCTGGTTTCTTGTTTCTTTCTTCCTTCCTTTTTTTCTTCCTTCTTTTCTTCTTCTTATTTATTTGTTTGTTTGTTTGTTTATTTATTTTTATGGTTTCCCTGTGTAATCCTGGCTGTCCTGGAACTTGCTCTGTAGATCAGGCTGTCCTCAAACTCAGAGATCCACCTGCCTCTGCCTCCCAAGTGCTATGATTAAAGGTGGGAGTCACAACAACTGACTGCCTTCTGGTTTCTTTTAAAAGACAATTCTTTCAAACATGGAATATACTGCGATTTCCTTCTCCTAAGACAATCACTGTATTTCTACGCATTCTGGTAGCCTAAAGAGGCTTTTCTGGCCATAAAAACCTTAAAAACATGTTGTGCATGTATGGTATGTATGTTTAGTGGATGTCTTGGTCATCTACTATTTAGGGCACTATTAAGTGCTATTCTGAAGGATCCTCACTGTTTTGAGAACTATGCAGTAATACGTTGCTTTGTTTTGTTAAATGATCAAGTAGCCCTCTTAAGCTAAAGTAAAAACTTCAGAGAGCAAGCTATCTACAGGCAGTAGGACAGCATGGGGGTAATCAATCCTATGCTCTGTTCCATTATATTCACTGTCTTCTTCACACTGCAAACATGAACGATGGTGACGGACTTTAAGTTCCAAGTAATAGACAAATGCCGGTGAGCATCTGCTATTGCTGCCTCCAAGAGTTCTCAGAACAGCAGAGTTTTCCTAGACTTTTTGGACATCTTTATGCCAGCAAAATAATATCCTTGTAGCTAACTACCATTATGTATAAAATGCTTAAAAGTTTATAAATAAACAACTGGTGAATTTAACCAAAACTTAGTTTGCTATAAGTTTTCTGACATTAGACTTACCAATTTAAAAACAAAAACAAATCCACACAGTTACTTTCAAACATTCAGAATTCATTAAAAGTTATGCAATTAACAACCCTATTAACACAGCTTTGTCAGTTTAATTTTTTTTTAACATGCACTTTAAGTAATATGCCCCCTTTTTTGTTTTTACCTGTACTGTTTTTAACTGTTGGGTCTGTAACACAGAGGGCTGAGTTGTAGTATTAATCAGTTGACTTCCTGGGGTCAATGCTGAGACACCAATGACAGGTTTCACCTCTGGCCTCCCTCCAATGGTAACTACTTTAATTTGCTGCGGTGGTAACTTAGCATCTCCTGGCTGAGCCTGATTTGTAACTTTCTGAGCCTGGGGTAGTTGGCTATGGGGTAGTGCTAAAACAATTGGTGAGCCAGACTTGCCCAAAGTTGTTAAAATTAACTTCTGTCCATCTGGTTTAAGGGTCTGATTGCCAAGTTTAAGATCAGATGTCTGTGAGACTTTGTTTAAAATAATCTGATTGGCTGATATAGTCACAGGAGTCTGAGCACCAAGCTTTTGAAGGCCACTCGGAAATGCTGGTTTCACTGTGGTATTAGACTCTGCTTTAGTAACTGTGGTATTCACTGCAACTTGGTTAGTGTGGGTATTGTACACTGTGATTGGTTCCGTGGAGATGGCTGCAGAGTCACCAGTAGAATTTATGTTGACAATTTCTTCCAGTTCTGTCTCCATGGGAATTGGGGATGACACAATTACAGCCTCAATACTATCCTCATCCACTAAAGTTATAGCAGTGTCCATTATCTCCTCTGGAAGCAAACTATTCACCTCAGCCGGCACCACCTCCATGATCGCTCTGCTTCTAGGAAGATGCCTGGGTGCTGGAAGAAAAGGGAAACCCATTACCAGGTTTTTAAGCAGATTTTAAGAATACATTCAAGAAAAATGTAAATGACAAAACCAATAGTGTTAAAATTGGTAAGTAATAAATGAAGGACATTCCGGATTTTCACAAACTGTATGTAGCTTTTAAGAATCTAAGATACAGAAATATATTTAAGTCTTCAATGATCTACCTAGGTCCTACATACGGCACTACCCTGTTTATAAACATTCACTAAATGTTAAAGGAGTTTCTAAATGTATCCACTTCATGAATGGAGATCAAATGGACTGTGACCCAAGTCTAATCAATTAAATTTATACTAAGGGAATTTCTCTTTGGAAAGATCTTCAAATCCTCTGCCATTTACAAGTCTAGAAAGCTGACTCAGCAAGCAAGAGCAACTGCTGCTCTTGCAGAGAACCGTGCTCAGTTTCCAGCACTGACATGGTAGCTCACAACGTTCTGGAACACCAATGCCCTTTTCTAACTTCAACAGGCACCAGGCACGCACATGGTACACATGTATACATGCAAGCAATACATACACATAAAATAAAAATAAATAAACAAAAAAGAATATACAGCTAGTCCCCATCAAGGAAAAAAAAGTAGGTCCAGACAAATCAGCTGCAATGACTTCAGCTAAAAGTCATTTAGAACTTCTAATAAGCCAGTGAATTCCGGTATCAACATGTATTAAAGACAGCAGCCAAGTGTTTGTTCAGAGAACTTCAAAACTCTTTAGAACCCAATCGGCAACTCTTGCTCTTCTTGGAGGCATGATGTCCCCTCACCGCCTGGATCAGGCTGTCATTTAATCCTGGCTGCTAGCATTGCAGATGATCGCCACACCCACTTCATTTTCTTTAATATAAGAAACATTGAAAACTTATGGGGAGCACACTTAGCTGGTGTGGACAATGCCTGTGATCTCAGCCCTGAGAAGCTGAGGTAGAAGGACCACAGCAGCCTGTATCACACAAAAGGAACACATACAAACAGCAAATTGTACTTAGTAGCCATGGCAAATATCGCTGCTGCCAAAATAAGCCATCAGTATAGAGAACTTACTATGGTAAAGATGGCATAATTTTCCTCGCCAAACCTCTGATGTGTGTTGTATTACCGCCCCTATTTTACATATAAAAATGTAGAAAGCTTAAATAATTTCCCAAGACAATGAATGGTAGAGACAGGATTCAAACTCTGATTCGTATGGTTCCAAAGTTAGTCATTTTAAATGCAAACATACACTATCGTAAACATTGTACCACTGGTGTTTTTAAGTGAAGACTAAAATAAGCCTAATCCTTTCAGAGTCAACTCCCTGTCCTGCAGGCCCCTACTCCATAAGTGCTGTCTATCAGAATGGCTCTGCATTTCTGTTTATACTACTTCATGTGCAGGGAATCATGGACAAAGGCTCCTCCCTTGGCGTAAGATGCTGACCCAGAAATCAGTCATAAAATGCCTAACTCAAATACATACTACGCCTACCAAACAACTAGATGGCTGAGTGTCAGACCCTTTGGAAGGAAGCACGGGCTGTTGTGGGCCACCCAACATGGGTGCTGGAATGGACTACAGTTCTCTAGAACAACAGGTACTCTTAACCTTGACGGCTGAGCCTCCTTCCTGCTCTACCTTAGCACATTGTAAAGCACTGCTTCTCAACCTGTAGGGCTCAACCCCTTAGCGAGTCCAAAGGCCCCTTACAGTTGTCTAACATCAGATATCCTGCATATCAGTTATCTCATTAATATTCAGAACAGAAGCAAAATTACAGTTATGAAGTGGCAATGGAGATAATTTTATAGTTGGGATTACCACACAACATGAGGAACTGTGTTAAAAGGGGCACAGCATTAGGAAGGTTGAAGACACTAATGTAAAGGGAAAAAACTAACACAGTTGAACTGCTGTAAGTCAGGGACCATCTGTGCTATGCACTGTGGCATACACAGAATTGTAAACTATGCCCTTCCTCACAGCAGGATTTTGAGATTGAGCTATAGTGTTGCACCCTATACTAGTTGTCCTCCTTTTGACTGTTAAATAGTACTCTACTGCACAGACCTCCAACTTTGTATATCCATCCACTTAAGACTGGGCATTTGAACTTTCTCAGTTTGAAACTGTTATGGATAACTCTGCTGTAAACATTAGGTTAAGGTTTTATGGCCATGACTTTCCATTTCTTTTGAATAAATACCTAGATATAGGATTGCTAGGGTTTTTTTTTTTAATTTTAAAGATGTATTTACATGTGTATGAGTATTGTGCCTACATGTATGTAATTGCATCATGTACATACAGTGCCTGTGAAGGCCAGAAGACAATCTTGCAAGAAACATATGGGTGCTAGGAACTAAATCCACCTCCTTTGAAAGAGCAGCCAGTGGCTTTTAACTACTGAGCTATCTCTCCAGCCACACTGAGGCAGGGGTGAGGAGCTTGTTTTTTTTTTTTTTTTTTTTTTTTTTTTTTTTTGAGACATGATAATTCAGTTCAGGATAGCTTCATTCTGAAGCCAAGGACTACTTTGAACTTCTAATCCTCCTGCCTCCATCTCCTAAATTTTAAAATTACAGGTTTGTCCCACCATGTTGGTTTGTGAGGTGCTGGGCATCAAAGCAGGGCTTTGTGAAGCTAGGAAAGTACTCCCATTGGTTATATTAAAAGCCTGTATTGTTTAAAAAGGTAGAATTTTTTGTTTGTTTTTGTTTTTTGAGAAAGGCTTGAATATAGGCAAGGGTGGTCTTGAATTGCCTTTATATACAATGGCCTCTACTTTCCAAATACTGGGATTACATGCCTCTCCGCCTGGATTGACGTGGCTCTAGGGACTGAATCCAGGGCAAGCACTCTGTTGTCTGAGCTACTTCCCCAGCCCAGCACCTGTGGTATAATAATTATGCAAGAGACTTGGCTCTATCATTTAGATACCCAGTACCCTCCCAAATGCCGGGCGTCAGGTGTGGGCTAGCACATCGGGCCAACCTCCATATTTTTTTGTTGTTATTGCTGTTGTTTGAGACAGGGTTTCTCTGTGTATCCCTGGCTGTCGTGAAACTTGCTCTATGGACCAGGCTGGCCTCAAATTCAGAAATCCACCTGCCTCTGCCTCCTGAGTGCTGGGATAAAGCCATATGTCACCACACCCAGTTCTAATCTCCATATTTTTAAGCAACGTACTGAGACTGTTCTATCTTCTTTTTAAAAATAGAACCAGGAGTTGGCCACAGCAACTTGCACATGCTATAAAGAACTATTACCACAGAATTAAATCTCCAGTCCCTTCCGCATGTTTTTCTAAAGTGTTGTTTCCTGTTCAATAAGTGAGAATCCAGTAATTGGAAATCACCATGTTAAATGAAATAAGTCAATCAGAAAAAAAAATATTTCTTGCAAATGAGGACTCTAAGTTTTTCTGTGCTTGTTTAGTGTATACTCTACCACTGACAACTACAATAATAATGCTGACCATCTTTACACGTGCAAATTGTGTGTGTGTGTGTGTGTGTGTGTGTGTGTACTTGAACTTGAGTGCCTATTAGTAGCTGGGACATGGGGGCACATGCCTGTAATTTCAGCAAGGCCAGCCTTAAGACCTTTTTGTGGGGAATGCTAGCTTTTAGGATTCTTATTGCACTGAATGAGTTCTTTACACACGCTGGCAAATCATCAGTCACAATAATTTGTAGCTGAAAGTACTTACTAGGGTTTGCAGACTTTGGGGAAAGAAGAGAAGCAAGGCATGGCACATGAACTGGGTACTGAACACAGCCAGAGCCACAAACACATGTTTCAGTGAAAAGCCTAACCGTGCACAACAAAGAGCCCCACCCACAGCCACACAGGCTCTACCACACACAACAAAGGGCCCCACCCATAGCCACACAGGCTCTTCAACATCCCACTACAAATCATGCCCATGCCCTGGCTGCTCTGCCCCTATTAAATGAGGTAATCTGAGTCTTGCATCCAGCAGAGCCATAACAGTTTTTATGCAAAAGAAATGGAAAGACATGGCCATAAAACCTTAAACCTGATGTTTACAGCAGAGTTATCCATAACAGTTTCAAACTGAGAAAGTTCAAATGCCCAATCTTAAGTGGATGGATATACAAAGTGGGAGGTCTGTGCAGTAGAGTACTATTTAACAGTCAAAAGGAGGACAACTAGTATAGGGTGCAACACTATAGCTCAATCTCAAAATCCTGCTGTGAGGAAGGGCATAGTTTACAATTCTGTGTATGCCACAGGTGCATAGCACAGATGGTCCCCAACTTACAGCAAGTAGTTCAACTGTGATTGTTTCCCTTCTTTACAATGCGTAAAATGGCACAGACACATAGGTATGGACTTTGGTCTTTCTAAAGGACAGGGACACCTCATCCCAACCTTCACTCACCTTTTTCCTTAAGATCAACACAGATAGAGCCAGTGCCTCTCCACATTTAAAAAAGCAAAGTTTGGCATCTCTTTCAATCCTAAGAACTCACTCCTGTAATTTTCAATTAACAAAAAGCTCCATGTCCTCGATGCCACGTCCCCGTACAATGATTTGAGGGTTCCTTAACTACATGGACTTGAGTATGTAAAACTAAAGCGTCATCCTGTGATTCCCGTTGCTCAGCTAAGGACATGAGTTGAGGGCACAGTAACTAAGCATCATCTAGTGGGCTTCCACTCCTCAGCTGAACCTCTAATTACTACTTAAGAGGTAAAACCCTCTCGGGAGGTGCAACCTGCTCTCATCTAACTCACAGATGATGTCATTCACTACCAGACATCCTTTAGCTTAGCTCACAAGGACCCATGTCCCCTTCCTTTCCAGGAGTCAGAGTCCAAACTGAGGTGGGAGATTTTTTTTTTTTTTAATAGACTATTTTCAAGCAAGGAAACAAAGTAACCAGCTACTGATCTAGAGGCAGAAAGCACAAAGTCCTGAGTCTAAGACTAAGTGTGTTTGTTTGTGTTACTAGTAACTGG